CTTATAGGAAACTTGATGTGTCACAAAAGACCCTTGATACTTTTAGGCCCTGTGTAGGGAAATGAAAACAATAAGGTGGTCTGTTAGTCTCCCTGTCTCATCAAGCTTTTACCTAAAAGTTTGTTTGGATGAATGAACTCATTTGCTCAAGTTTGAGAACCAGTAATTCACATGAATTTTGTGTTTTGTTTTTAATAGATTTTTCCATGTTTGTCTTCTAACTCTATTTGACTCTTATTCTCTGAAACAGTTTAAGGAACAGAATTCTTTGTTTTCCTTGAAGGATTAGTAGAATTTATTAAACTATCCTGTCTGGGTAGATGCTTTTATAAATGGCTTTTATAAATGGAGAGCGTAGAGATAATATACCTCTTTTTTTTTTTTTTTTAAGATTAATTTATTTATTTATACAAGCACTGGGTACAGTCAGAAGCGCGGGAGGGTGAGGGAATTCACCAGAGCCAGAGTGGAGAACAGAACAGGCTGACTGATGCTATACACTGCTGAGGGGAGCAGCAGGCGCGGCAGGAGAGGTCTGCGCGCCATGTGGGACCCTCGCCGGTGGCCGGGGATCAAACCGGCACTTCAGAGGCTGCGGGCAGTTTCGCAGCCCAGCACTCAAGGGCTGTGCCACCAGGGGAGGCCTGATAATATACATCTTGAATCAGATTATTTTATATTTTTGTAGGCAATAACTTTTGTCTTTAATTTATTAGAATGTAGTTGTGTGTGATATTCTCTTTAAAGAAACTTGCTTAGTATTTGTAATCCTTGCCTCATAAGACTATATCTTTCTCCCTTTTTGGATTTGACTATAGACATTTCTGCATTTTTGTCTTCTAGTTACTGGGTTTTTGTTTTGTTTTGTTTTTTTGCTTATTTCTTATTCTTTGGTGAATTTTGTTGTTAATTTTTTGCCTCTTAAACTCACTTTTTTTTTAAATCTTGTGTTTTATAGTAAAAGAAGCATTTGGGAAGATGGTCTCCCAAGCTTTGGCTTATTTTATAGATATTGAAATAACAAAATAGTGTTTTCTTTCTTGTTTCTTTTGATAAATTCCAATTTTTTTGCCTGTCAATTTTGATTTCTTTAGCTTAGAACTTATTTAAATCAGTGTGTTGTAAGGAAGAGAGCCATTTAAGTTCTTTCAAATAAAAGGGAATTTTATTATAGATATTACCACAATTTCTCAGGGATGTGAGGCCTCCTGTGACCTCTGAAATAGGTAGTAGTTAGCAATTGGAATCTCTCTCTCATTTGTCACATAGTTTTTCTTATGGTATCAAATTGGCCACTGCTTTGATCTATTGATTATACTTACATACATGCATAATTACTACATGTATATACATGAAGATGTAGATTGTTTGAATATTGTGTTTTGGGTCAGCAATATTAACAATGGTATTTCCCTCAGCAGCTCCTTTCTCCCCTTCCCAATTATATACCACAGCAGATGGAGGCTTTACAAAGTTTTAATTTTTAACATGACTTCCAACCTATTAGAGCTTCCTCAAATTTCAGACTATATTTGGGCAATTTCTATCACATATTTAAGAGTTGCTCTTAGGGAAATATTTTTTACCCAATGGTGATTATATTTAGCTATCATTTACTTGTTGAAGTTTTCTGAAGGTAGCACCTTCAACTTTGCTTTCACTCCTGTATTTAACAGTTTTCAGTTATATGATGTCCTAGCATTTAAATTTTTAAATATTTTGTGATTGGAATTTGATAACTAAAATTGATTTAAATTCCTAGTCTTTCTTTAGAAATTCAGATTATCTTTTTTAAAATCTGTTGTGGTAACTTCTCCATAGTTCATATAATTTTCTTAAAGTCAGTCTGCAGATATTTTTTGAGAAATTCCCTTGTAGTGCACATACCAGTTGTTATTGAAGTATTAGAGGATTGACTTTGGGATGCAGCAAGATGGAGCAGATAAAATTCACTTACAAAAAAGTGCACTAAAGATGCAGCCATCAGAGATTAGTGAAGAACAGCTATGGACATCCATTCCTGGAAGTATTCATAGCAGGGCCACTTTACCTGGTGAGAGCCAAAACTCAGTGGAAGACTGAGTATAAAAAATATGCATCACTTTAAGAAGAAATGGGATCCAACAAGATTTTTCAGGAATACATTTCTATAGAATTTGATTTAGTTGATTTCTTTGAGAATATCTTAATAGTGTTTGCTACAGGAGGGTATTGTTTGTTTTCAAATAGAGATTGATGAGCAGAGGTATGAAATGACCTTCTAAGGTCCTAAGTTGTTTTTTCTTTTTCTTTTTTTTTAAAGATTTATTTATTCATACAAGATCTGGGGTACAGGCCAGAGATGCGGGGGGTGAGAGGATTCACCAGAGACAGAGAGGGGAACAGAGCAGGCAGACTGACTGAAGTACACTGCTGAGGGGAGCAGCAGGCTAGTCAGGAGAGGTCTGCTGCACCGTGTGGGTTGCTCCCTGGCCAGCCAGGAATCCCACTTGTGCTGCAGAGGCTGTGGTTTGCTTCATAGTGCGGTGCTTAACCCCTTGGGCCACCCGGGAGGCCCTGAGGTCCTAAGTTTTGATGCCAGGATTTGACCTTCATTGCTTTTGTGAAGTCACAGGACTCCAGTGACTCTCAAAGCTAGCCTCTGTCCTGTCTGCTATTGTTTCTTTAAGCCAGGGGATTGGATTTCCCTTTTGTTTCAGAAGTCCATAATTTACAGAGTTCTAAGCCTTATACCTTTCTTCCTTTTGGGGAGAGGGCAGTGTTTATAGTAGCTGATGGAGCCAATTGTATGTATTAGCATTTACCAAATAAACTTACCATTGGAAATAAGTGATATGAGGCCTCCCAGGAATTACTTTTTGAGAGCCAAGCTTAGGGTGACTTAGTGTCTATTTTGTTATTCTGTAGCAAGTCTCCTTAAAATGAATATTTGAAATAAAGTGGAAGGAAGGAACAAAATAATGAATTCTTAGTTTGGTTGCTTTAGGAAGAATCACAGATATGTCTGTACCACTGCCTTTATTGCTGTTAGTCTTTTCATGATAGCATGTTTTTTATGCTGTTGTGATATAAGCAAACTTCAAATAAATTATTTATTAGGATTGGGTACTTTGGGAAAGATGCATTTCTTACTTGGTAAGATATATCCTCAAAAGCTGTTGTAGACCTTTTCATGAAACATTGAATTAAACTGTTAAGAGATAGGACAGAAATTTTCTTGTTTTCTGTAGCATAGGGGTAAGATAAATAAAATAGCCTTACACATGGAGGAAATGAAGTGAGTTAAAATATAATGGCCATGGTATTGTGGTATATTGTGCAGTTTGAGTGTGATTGAGTGCACTTTCACTGTGGTGACTACCTAGCCACATGTGGCTTTTAAACACTTTAAATGTGGTGAGTCCCGAATGATCCTGAACTGTATAGACTGGATATTAAAGTCTTAGTATGAAAAAGTATGTCATTGATATTCTAAAAAGTTGGTTATTTTTAAATAAAAATTTATTACATGTGGCAATATTTTTGACATTGATATGTATATTGATAGTTTCACATTTATTTTAAAATGGCTACTAGAAAATTTGAATTGTGTATATATAATTTCTATAGTGCTGATTGGGAGTACAACATGGCTGCTGATGAGCACTTAATATTTTCTGACTTGCGCAATGTGAAATGTAGAGACATAGCATGTGAAGTAGATTTCTGATACTGCATGTACGTGTGGATTACTATGATATACTTAAATGTGTTTGCATTTTTAAAAACAAGTATTATTCTGAACAGTATTAAGCAATTGCTTCTGGACTGTTACTGAAGACAGTTTCTTCTGCAGAACAGAGGGATTAATTATGAACCCTTATCAGCGTAGGTACTGTTCCTGCCCTTTACTATGCTAAGGGGGAGGACAGGTTGAGAAGTTCTCACCGCTGCAGTTTGTGGTGCTTATGAGGAGTAGGTGGAGAAGCAGTTTTCTTTTTCTTTTTTTCTTCTTCTTCTTTTTTTTTTTTTTTTTTTGGTGGGACCCTCGCCAGCGGCTGGGGAATGAACCGGCACCGCAGCCTCGCAGCCCAGCGTTCAACCGCTGCGCTGCCAGGGGAGGCCCGAGAAGCAGTTTTCTTTTGGGCAGGTTTCTGAAAGGACTTTTGGTCAGCCCCAGGCTTAGTTCCCTTTCTTCTAGAAGGCGCACTTGTGGTGCAGGTAGGTCTGACCTGTGTGGCTCACCTCTAAACTCAGAATTGACTGAAAGTCACTAAGAAGGCAAGTGGTTACAAGTATTTATTAGATTTTGTTGACTAAATGGAAGGTGAGCGGTAAAGCAGGAATAACTTCTAACATTCGTTTTATACCCAGGAACCAGTCAGTGAACGGTATGGAGGACAACTTGCCCTTTAAGACATGCGACCATTTGTTTTCTCGCTCTTAAAGGTCTTTTTCTTAGTGGATACTCAAGTGGGAATTTTAGAAGTGTGACTGCAGAATAAGATGTATGTGATTTTTAGTGTTAATATTTAAAAACATCCTCGTTTTCTGTTCCTTAATATTAGAGTTGGAGTTCTTGGATCATAATGCTATCTTGATTTTGTAGATTTACTACTTAGCATTGGAAGTTATACATATATAGTGTTGCAAAACTATACATTTTTATTTGGGTATCTGATAATTCTGTAGCAGACTACATTGTGTATTGTTGGGCTTAGTTTTAAAAGGAATATTTTCATTGGTTGTAGGTTTCATAGTCACTAAGGAAATATGGGTTTATCTTCAGCATCAGACTAAGTGGTTAATAGAAACTATAGAGCACCAAAATTTAGAGTACAGTAAAATTTAACACCATGACTTGAATGTAATTTGGGAGTGGTGTGTGAAAAGGCTTGTTACTAGCACATGCCACTTGATCAAATATGGGAAAAATCAAATTTTTACAGTTTGTTTTACATAGGGTTTTTATATGCCTGAGGGTGCTTGTTTACTTATGTCCTTTTTTTCTTTCCTTTTAGAATATGGTTTCTAGTTTTAGGGTTTCTGAACTACAAGTATTACTAGGCTTTGCTGGACGGAATAAAAGTGGACGGAAGCATGACCTCCTGATGAGGGCGTTGCATTTATTGAAGAGTGGCTGCAGCCCTGCGGTTCAGATTAAAATCCGAGAATTGTATAGACGCCGATACCCACGGACTCTTGAAGGACTTTCTGATTTATCTACAATCAAATCATCGGTTTTCAATTTAGATGGTAGCTCATCACCTGTAGAGCCTGAGTTGGCCGTGGCTGGAATCCACTCGTTGCCTTCCACTTCAGTTACACCTCACTCACCGTCCTCTCCTGTTGGTTCTGTGCTGCTTCAAGATACTAAGCCCACGTTTGAGATGCAGCAGCCATCTCCCCCAATTCCTCCTGTCCATCCCGATGTGCAGTTAAAAAACTTGCCCTTTTATGACGTCCTTGATGTTCTCATCAAGCCCACAAGTTTAGGTAAGTGTTTCTTCTGGACAAGAGCATATTAAATAAACCAAGAGGCTTTCAACTGTTGACTCGTGATTTGCTATTGATAACATAAAATCGAGGCATTATGGCATTATTGTCAAATGTTTAAGTGTGCAAATAAATTGTTGGCAGCCATGACTGAAATCTAATATCAGGCCATTCATTCACTGGAATGTTCTCGTGATTTAGAATTTAAATTAATTATGTGCATATGGGAACAGACACAAGTCTTTTAATGTATTGCATGTTAGCCCACATTTTGATTCTTTTACAACATTTAGTTTTCTGTTTAATACAGCTTTTGAACTGTTTTCCTAACAAATAAGTCTTTTATACTTAATTTTTTCTAAAGTAGCACAGGAGTTTGACTTTTTTTTTTTTTTTTAATAGAGGCATGTTATTTATTTATTTATTTGTTTGTTTGTTTATACATGCACTGGGTACAGCCAGAAGCGTGGGAGGGTGAGAGAACTCACCAGAGCGGGGTGCAGAGCAGGCAGAAGGACCGAAGCACACGGCTGAGGGGAGCAGCGGGCGGCAGGAGAGGTCCACGCGCCATGTGGGACCCTCCTCCGGTGGCCGGGGAGCAGCCGGGGATCGAACCCGCACCGCAGAGATCGCGGGCAGCCTCGCAACCCAGCGCTCAACCGCTGCGCCACCGGGGAGGCCCAGGAGTTTGACTTTTGCTGGTTATGATGGCAGGTGTTTCAGAGACTAGTCTCAGCTTTTTAATATCCATCGACTGCTGAGAAAATTTAATAAATTTTATCATATATATAAAGTTGATGTGACTTTAACAGATTTTTATCCTGGCTACAGTGGCATAATTTCCTTCTGTGTATTGAAATTATTTGCTGTGGTATTCGGATTTACTGATGAAATAAATTATTTGAGAAATAACATTTCATAGTAAATCTGAGAGATTGTTTTCCTTTGTATCTGGGAAAACCCCTTTTCAAGTCATTTGAAAAACTCTCAAATACATTCATGTGCTTTCTCCTTTTTGTGTAGAATTATATAGCATTTCATTACATCTTGGTTGAGCCAGAAGATTTTGAGGAGCAGAACTGGCTAAAGGGGTCAGTATGATCTGATTGGTGGCAGACCAAGGAGGCTGTGCTTCCCCCCACCCCCTTCCTCTGCTGTAATTGCTTTTGTTTAGCAAAACTAAGACTGGCAGGCAGAGTAATGCATTTTATCCCTTCAGTACACTCGTTCTGGAATAAGGATTCCCTGATGTTCACATTTTATTATTCGTACGAATTTCTATAAGTAGAATTTTTCCATCACAGAGTAAGAACATATTAGACTGTTGACAATATATTGTTACATAGTTTACAGAATAGCTGTGCTGGTTAAAATCCTAGAAAGTAAGAACATGTCTCATTGTACTTTATTGGTTGCATTAAAAATCAGTCTGATTCTGATAGGTGAAACTTCCTTCAGCTTTTCATTTTAAAAATTAACAGGAGCAAGCCTTTTAAATGTTTGTTACCTACTGCTTTTCTTTTATGATTTTATTTTTATCTTTAACCTCTTTTTTACAAGTTGATTTATCTGGTTAAAATATTTCCACAATTAATTTTTTACTTCTTCCATTCTCAAGGTTTTTAGTTTACACCAGTGCCCAATATCATGGCTCATTCACACATTTCTCTCTCAGCAATTATTGCATGTTTATTTCTTTGCATTTTGAGAAAGATTCAGACTGGTGATACATTCCAGTGACCCTACCTCAGGATTATGACTGAGGTGAGGACTGAGAACAGAAGTCCTGGGACCCTGGAGACAGTGCAAGGTGTCACTGTTTAATGCCTGGAAAGGAGGCTGGAGATGGAAGATGTAGCAGTGTGTCTGTGCTCCTGGGCATCAGCGGTGTTCCAAAGGGATGCCCCAGAGACTTGCTCTTAATTTCCTGCTTTGTTCAGAAGAAGAAATAGGGATTTTTCTTTTTTTTCTCTACTCTTCATAGAGTTCTCTTTCATTAACTTCAGTAAGGTTAAAGGAAAGTAGTAGATTCTTTGTAAGTTTACTAAAATAAAACTTGTGTATTCAGTGTTTAGATAACTCTTTCATTTGGCTTATATAAAGTAATGCTCGAAGTAGTTTATGTTGAAGATAAGAAAAACCTGCCTTTGGAGCATAGTTTAAATTAGAATGTAAGAGGTACATATTATCTCACAAACTATTACTCCTGAGTTAGTCATATGTTTTTCAGGACTCCTACCCATTATTATTTTTATAAACTTTATAAGCTTATGAAACAATACTTTAAAAAAAAAAACAATTTTATCTTGATTTCTCTAAAGCGAAAAAGAGCAGAATTTTTTAAATGTTATATAGCCTTATTTTTATCAGATTTATGAAATAGTTATCTATGAAATCTTTTAAATTTTGAGGTTAGAAGGTTAAAAAATTAGTGTATTTTGGATTGAAAATATGACAGTAAATAATGATAAGGCTAGAATATGTCAGAAAATAAAAGGCACGGTGAAGATACATCTGTTACATAAATTGCTAGCATTAACTTCACATGCTATAAATTGTTGATAAATATTAACATATAGCAACTATGGAAAGATTCTAGATAAAATTGGAAAGTTCTTGGTTTATGTGTACTTTGTAAGTCATTTAGACAGGGCCTCAAATACTGGATTCACCAAAGGTTGTGCACAGCACTGCAGGTGTTGACAATTTTGGTGCACTGAAAATAGATCAGTCTCTCAGGATTTTTATGTTAATCAAGCGTCAAAGAAAGAAGTATGAATTACAGCAGTTGGGCTGTTGTATGTCACTTGTACTTATAAGGCCTGCCTTTTAAGGTCATTACTTTTGCTTTAAACAGTTGCTTTTTAAGGAAATTACAGGTGAAAACCAGCATATTCTTTTATATTTACTTCTTTTCTTTTTTACACTGTTTGAACTGGGTTTTCATTCTTGAAAATTTGGTTTTGAATTTGCTGTCACTCTTTGTTGTTTTGGCCTTCATAGTTTCCTTCTACATTTCTTGCAGTTCATGCCTGCTTTCAACATATTCTCTTGGCTTCTGTTTATCTGAAAATCATCAGTCCATCCTGTTTTGAAGAGTATTGAATTTTCAGTTGACAGTTTTGTTTTCCACGGCTTTAAGATGACCTCTAATTTGTTTCTGATAATAAGCTAGCCTTTACTGTAACAGTGTTCCCTTGTGTATATTTCTTTTTTTCCCCCACTGGCTGCTTTCAAGATTTTATAGTCATCATAGATTTTCAGTAGTTTGATGTGACTAATTAGTTTGTTTTTATTTTGCTTGAGGTTTGATTTGTAACGACTTTTCTCCCCTCCATCAAAATTATGGAATATTTTCATTACTTCTGTAAGCTTTAAAAATACCCCATTTTCTCTTCTTTTGGGACTCTGTACCTATGTTAGGTCTTTTCAAGGTTACTAACTGAAGGGATTGGGAGCTCACACCATTAACTAAGTTTGAAGACTCTGTAGTTATCTCTAACCTTTAAGTGTGTTTACTGAATTTGAAAATTAAGAGATCATTCGTGACTAGTGAGGGATGGAGAGTGACAGGTGAAATGTGCACAAGAAAGCAAGAGTGGAGGAGTGAGCAGGAATCCAAGAAACAGAAAAATTTTACTGTAGTTGTGTGTTTTATGTGTTTGTAATTTTATGCCCCACAGTTCTGTTTAATTTTTAGGCCTTCATCATAGCCAGCATTTCTTTCCTCCTCCTTTTAAAAATGTTTTGGGAAACTAAGAATCATGTTATGACATGATTTCATGTGATTGCTATGATAAACTCCCTATCCTTAAAGAAAAGAGTGTTTTTAGCAAGGAGTTAGTATTTTTCTTGATTTGAGAATTGAAGTCCTTGACATTGGATATTTGTTTGGCATTTTAATTATTTTTCTTCAGGAAAACACCCAGTTTGCCTTCTTTTCCATGTTATGGCAATACTTGTAAAGAAGCAAAAGACTCGAGGCGTCTGTTAGCTTTCCTTTTGTTTATTTTAATGAGTCCTAGCATATCGATGACTTAGTGCATCAGTTTCAGTCTGTTACAGTTGTCTGAGAAGGAAATACATTCCAGCTTTTAATAATGTAGTTAAGAAGGGTGGCTTCATAGGGTAATCTTTTTTAACTGAGTAATCTTTTTGCACGCAGAGTATTAGATAACTTAATTACTCTATCATCTTAGAAGTTTTAAAGTTTAGTCTTATACAAATGCTTGTGTAATTGAATATGAATTGTGGAAAATAAAACATGGCAAAGAAAGGAAATAAAAATTGAGAAAACAAAAGACACCTGCTTCTTGAATATTCATTGCTGATGCTATAGTCAAAGAAGAAATGTAAGTTGGAGAGGTTATGCGATATTTTCACTAGATTTAGAATAAAGAATGATAAATACTTAAAAATTTAACCAGCTTTAGAGTGACGTTTACTTTCATGATTCCATGATGAATGTAGTTTAGTGCTTCTTTACTTGGGATATTTTAATCAGAAAAATTTCAGAATTTGATAGATTTTATCAGAAAGCCTGGTTGTATAAGCCAGGTGCTTACATCTTTAGATTTATTGTTGGAATATTATCTACCTTTTTTTCTCCCCAGTTCAAAGCAGTATTCAACGATTTCAAGAGAAGTTCTTTATTTTTGCTCTGACACCTCAGCAAGTTAGAGAGATATGCATATCCAGGTAAGAATATTGTTTGGAATGTATTCTCTGTGTGTCGGTGTATTAGTCTGCTAAGATTGCCATAACAAAGTATTGCAGACTTGGAGACTAAAAAAAATGCATTTTCCTAGGAGTCTTGCAGTCCAGGCTAAGGTGTTAACAGATCTGGTTTCTCTTGAGTCCTCTCTGGTTGACCTACAGTGTCCATCGCCTTTAGCTGTGTGTTCACACATGTGTCTTTCCTCGTGTGTGTGTGTGTGTGTGTGTGCATGCCTTTGTCTTAGGAGTCCACTCTTAGAACCTCATTTACCCTAATCACTCTTCAAAGCCTCTGCTTCCACCTATAGTCACATTGAGGGTCAGGGCTTCCACATAAGTTTTGGGGGATACTGTTTTATCATAATTATTGGGCTCTTTTTCCTTAAGTGAGTAGGGTATGCTTTGATTAAAGGTAATCCAACAAAATTTAATACTCTGTTATAAAAAAAATTTAACCTTTGAATAAAATCTGAGATTATCTTTTGAATTACTTTTGTTACATTGGGCAGTAGCTTTCTGGCACAAGGTGATCCAGGCTCATCTTTTATTTTCTCTGCCTCAGTCCTGGAATTGAGTTCCAGGGAGCTCTGGTTCTTACTTCATAACAGTTCTACCTCTTTTGGGGGGAAAAGTGGCTCATTTGGTTCTGTAACATACTATACATTTTTGTATCTGGATGATTATGCTTCTTGTGTCATTTAACTCTCTGTGTTATTTCAGACTTTGTATAGGAGGATTACTGGGAGCTTTAAGAGTCTGTATGCCCAGGTTTTATTCATATAAGTTATATTAGACTCTCTGAGGATGCAACACAAACAGTAGTTTTTAACTCTCCCCAACTGTTTCCAGTGTGCAGCAACTTGAGAACCCCTGTTGTTCATGCATCTCTACCCCTTTGCAGTAATAGTAATAAGGTCTAAAGTGAGCCTTGTGCGCATTTTGGTTGGGTTGTTTTGTTTTCTTAGTACATCTTGTGAAGGTGGATCTGTGAGTTCAGCTTTCTTCTTGGTTTCAGTAACTCTTCCATTTGGCTTATTTACGTCTCTAATTGTGCCCTCTTGGTCTCTCACACTGACATCTGTTACGTGTTCCCAGCAATCAGTCTTTAATTCTTTTCTCAATAATCTGTGATAGCGTCCTCTATAAAGGTGCTTTGTCATTTTTATATTGATGGCTGCAAAAATTAGTCACCAACACATCCCTCTGGAGACTTCTGACACTGCCACTACTTTGATGACCCTCACATGCATCAGGCACAGTACACCCGAAATTGAACATGCCTTCCTCCCAAAGCTGCCTTTATCTGTGGCCCAGACAATGTTCCAAGCTTTAGGGGTGCAAAGTTGAAAAATAAACAGGCCACAAGGAGATTTCTGCTTCTTGTATTTCCTCCTATTACCTATTTCATTAATGGCTTGGACTCTGCCTGGACAGACACTCTTTATATTATCCCACACTTCATCTACCATATCTGTCAGTTTGCAATACTACATTGTTGTTTTATGTCTTTAAGTTTTGTTTTTTTTTTTTTTAAAGATTTATGTATTTGTTTATAAAAGCACTGGGTACAGTCAGAAGCACTGGAGGATGAGAGAATTCACCAGAGCCAGAGCGGGGAACAGAACAGGCAGACTGAAATACACTGCTGAGGGGAGCAGCAGGCGTGACAGGAGAGGTCTGTCATGCCATGTGGGACCCTTGCCGGTGGCCGGGGATCGAACCGGCGCTGCAGAGCCTGCGGTCAGCTTTGCAGCCCAGCGCTCAACCTCTGCACCATCAGGGGAGCCCCTGTGTCTTAAGTTTTAAAGCTTGAAGCAAGTTGGAGGGAAGCTAACTTAGAGTAATACTAGCTGGCTTGTGAATTGTGTCTCATCTACTTAGGTCTGCATGCCCTTTGGTAAGTTACTATAGCCCATTGAATCTCATGTACCCAGTATGTAAAATTGGAAAATAATAGTCACCACTTCACCTAGCGATTGGTGAATTGAATGGCATAACTTGCTTTACCTGTTCTCCTTATCCTGATGAGTGGTATCACCATCTATCAGTTTGTACCATTCCAAAACCTGGGTATCACTCAGTCTACATGCTGTCTTCCCCTTATTCTGCTTTCCTGTCTTCTTAGTCATGGAATCCTATCAGCTTTTATGCCTAAAAATCATTCAGTGCTCTTTACATCTAAAGTAACTTCAAACCCTCCTCTTTTGTGTAATTGTAATGATCTCTTAACTCTCCCAGCAGACTGTGCAATCTTTCTAAAGCCCACTCAGTTTTTCCTCTCTTCTGCTTAAAAACCCTGTAGTGATAACTCATTGCCTTCCTTGCAGTTCTCTTTAACATCTCATTCTACTCATCTTTTTTATCATCCCATCCCTAGCAGCCTATCCTCAGAGTGGGTTTTCACAGATGTACCTTTGCATATCCTCTTCTTCCTTACTCTGGCAAATCCCTGATGTTTTAAGGGTTTGTTCAGGTCTTAACCTTTCCAAGTTTTTCAAAACCCATCCTTTGTTTCTCAATGTACTACATATTTGTTTTCTATCAAAGCTTTGTCCCATTGATTTGACTACTTATTGATGAAAGCAGCATCCGTTATTTATTTTTATATTCTCAAAACCTGTCACAGGCCTGGCATAAAGAAATGCCTACTTTATATTTGATGGATGAATGAGATCAACATGTGAAAGTTCTTAGAACAGTGACTGGCAGAAATTTCTCAAAATGTTTTTGAAGGTATTTAGCACATTGCGTTTCCTAGTTTACATCGGTTTCCCTCACTAGAGTAAAGCGTAAGTCCTTAGCTATTCAAAGCCCTTTCTAACACGTTCTTTCTATCTTTTTAAGTCATATTTTATCATTTCTGTTTTCAATTGTGCTGTGTATCTCTGCTTGCTCCTTACCTTTACTTTTGTTGAGAATATTGCACTAGTGAAGCCGCTGTTACTGATGGAAATATGAGAACTTTGAGACAAGTGTTGTCTCTTACTTAGTTTTAACATTTCAGTGCCCAGACTGAACTATTTCTTGGTTTTAGTGAGTAGGATGATAGGAATTTCTTGCAAGAGGTAAATGAGTCTAGGATATTGGGATATTTTGAATACACATTTGAGAAGGGTGAAGCTACTACTAGGGAAACACAGACCAGAGTTAACAATAAGAGCAGCCAGCTGCTCATATGTGTTGAGCTCTTCTTACATTCAGGCTCTTCACATGTGTAATTAACATGTTTAATGGTCACGAAAACTCTGTGAATGAGTTACTGCATTAATTTTCCTCTTTAGCAAATATAGAAACTGAGGCACAGAAAGGTGAAGAATTCATAATTTGCCCAAGAGCATACAGTTGGGATTATAAAACTCAAGTAGGTCACTACATTGCTTTAGTGCCTTCCAGTGAACATAAAGAAGTGGAAACGTTGAGAAGACTGGCCCAGTTAAGAGCAAAATGAAGAAGGACTAATGACTAGTGATCTTCTAAAAATCCAAGATTTATGTAATAGCTAAGAACAGTACTTCTTAAGCTGTAATGTGCATACATGTCACTTGGGGATCTAGTTAACATGTAAATTCTAGTTCTGCAGGTCTGTAAGGGACCTGAGCTTTTACATTTCTGATACCCTCCCATACAACAGTACTGCTTCATTGTGGACTCCATTTTGAAATGGCATGGGTTTGGAAGGTTCAGTACCAAAGATATTTTATATGGGACTCTAATAGGTTCTCATCCAGAAATTATAAGTGGTTCTGTGTCCTTAACTGGATACATAATTATGAGGCTGTCATGTTATAGAGATAATGAGACTCCAGGTATCAGTTCTTCGTCTTGGTTCTGTGTTACAGTCACCTGAGTAACTAAAAACTAATGGTCAGACTTAACTCCACATTAACTAAGAATCTAGTGTGCTCCTTTTCATATTAACCAAATCTTTAGCCTCTTAAAATAAATACTGCTTTATGCAAGTTCTGGAATTACCTTAAAATTGCCATAAAGACATGACTAAACGTTCAGTAAATGAGGGTCATCACTATAGTGCTTCATTAAGGCTTGTGTTCTTGGAAGGCTGGTATTATCTTTTAAGGACTATGAATAAAAATTCAAACAATGCTTTTTTTTTCTGGTAAGACTGTTGCTGTTAATTTTCATTGTGCTTTCTTAACCTAATTTCTTTCTCTTTCCAACAGGGATTTTTTGCCAGGTGGTAGGAGAGATTATACAGTCCAAGTTCAGCTGAGGCAAGTTTGAAATTTTCTGGTACTTTTATTATATACTTGCAGATTACGTACATGCAGTCCTGAATTTGAAGATAAATAAGTATGTTTGAGAACACTGTTGAAGAATGATTTCTCTTTTCTCCTTTAATGTAGGCTTTGCCTGGCAGAGACAAGTTGCCCTCAAGAAGATAACTATCCCAATAGTCTGTGTATAAAAGTAAATGGGAAGCTGTTTCCTTTGCCTGTAAGTTGCTTTTTATTCACTAGGCTTGCATATAACTTTAATATAGCTAGTGACAAGTTCTAGAAATTGACAATTCAGTACCAGTGAACAGTCTTGGTGTACAGATTAAGTGTTGTTTTCCGCTGAAGAGATTCTTTTTTTTTTTTTTTGAAGATTTATTTATATATTTATACAAGCACTGGGTACAGTCAGAAGTGCGGGAGGGTGAGAGAATTCACTAGAGCCAGAGCGGGGAGCAGAACAGGCAGACTGACGAAGTACATGCTGAGGGGAGCAGCAGGCGCGGCAGGAGAGGTTTGTCATGCCATGTGGGACCCTCACCGGTGGCCGAGGATTGAACCGGCGCTGCAGAGGCTGCGGGCAGCTTTGCAACCCAGCGCTCAACCACTGCGCCACCGGGGAGGCCCCTCACTGGAGAGATTCTTGACTCTTTGGAGAAATGACTGGTTCTGTGTCTAAGGGAGATGGAGAAGATAAGCCTGGGGCATTTTATGTCAGAAGGCAAGGGAACTGTATAGACTCTTAGGATTATATCAAATGGCCCAGTAGCAGAGCAGGCTTACATATTTAGGGCAGCGTGTTTTGATGGATGGCTGATTTAGTTGGGCCTGGGTTGTGCATGAGGTAAGACGATGAAAGTCAGAGACTTAATGAGGACAACTGGACATGGAAATATAAAGGATTCTGAGCTTGGGTCTTGATGCACTTCCTTGTGGGGATAGATACAGTGATATCTGACTGACAGCCTGTTGTGAGCAGCTAAGCAGAATGTGGGTCTCTGTACTGAAATAGACACAGTCTGTTTCTGACCTGAGAGCTCTTGAACTCCTCAGATTCTGTTAGTCAGATCTTAAAAAGAACACTTAATTGTTTAGTTGTACTAATGTTTATATATTCACTTAAGCCTGGATAGCCTCTAAATTGGTACAGCAGTATAGAAGGCCAGCAAAGCCATAGTCCAAAAAGTCGTGGGGCACAGCCTATTTGTCACCATGCTCTGCTGCTGGTGAAGGTATTTTGGTCTGAAATGCTGAAAAATAATGATTCCACCAGCCTACTAAGTTGCCATTTCAGCACAGAAGACATTATTGTGACTATTGAAAAGAAGGTGAGCATTTCTGCTGAGCATCTGGCTTGGCTCTGAAATAAGTTTCAGCAACATCTAAGAGTAGTTAAGTGGGTCATGAAACATAGTGTAGGACTCTGGGCCCTGCAGAGCCAGCGGGTTCTCATTGAACACCAAGTAAAGAGGGTGCATGGCCGAGGTTGATCCTTGTACAGATCTCACTTCTTGGTTGTCTAGGGGTCCCATTTGTGTCATACATAAAGTAGATTTGCTTGGGAGATCCCTTGTCAAATGAACTTAGATAGGGAAAATTGCTAGAAATAAATGAATGCTAAATATTTAAATGTACAGTATCCCAACTATATCCTATTGTCAATAACCAGGTTATTGATGATTGAGTGGAGGTGATGCTGATGATCAGAGGGAGAATGTAACTTAACATAATACAAAATTACCACTGAAATCAGTCCATTCATGGGGGTAGAGAATAGTTTTAAAATGCTTCAGGTGATTAGGACTAGCACATAACTTGATTTTGAGTTTGCTAATGTCTCATTCTTCTAGCTCACTGTTACTCTCCCTCCTCCTATTGCCCTCTTCTTTTGTCAGATTGACTTACGACATTGTTGCTTGCTGTCTCAAATTTGTTTGTACCCTTCTCCATTAGCTAGTTCATAGATTATTTTTGTCATGTTTTTAGACCCTGTGCTGTTGTTTTCATTTGCTTAATCTACCAGTGAACATTATCCTCTAGGCCAAGAACAGGCAAAGCAGCTTCCCAGATATTGGTGTTGATAGTCCTTGTGCTTGTTGATCTTTGAACCAATTCCTAGTGTCCTTATAAGAGGACATTTTTTTTCTTTAAAGATTTATTTATTTATGCACACAAGAACTGGGGTGTAGCCCAGAGGTGCAGAGGGTGAGAGGATTCACCAGAGACAGAGTGGGGAACAGAAGAGGCAGATCTTCTGAAATACATGGCTGCAGTGCCATGTGGGTAGGTCCCTGGCTAGGGATCGAACTCATACCACAGTAGCTGCCGATAGCTTGATAGTGCTGAGACTTTAACCCCTGCGCCTATAAGAGAATTTTTTTTTTTTTAAAGATTTATTTTTATTTATTTATACAAGCACTGGGTGCAGTCAGAAGCGCGGGAGGGTGAAAGAATTCACCAGAGCCAGAGCGGGGAACAGAGCAGGCAGAAGGACCGAAGGACACTGCTGAGGGGAGCAGCGGGCGGCAGGAGAGGTCTGCGCACCATGTGGGACCTTCCTCCGGTGGCCGGGGAGCAGCCGGGGATCGAACCGGCGCTGCAGAGACTGCGGGCAGCTTCGCAACCCAGCGCTCAACTGCTGCGCCACCGGGGAGGCCCTAAGAGAATTTTTTTTAAGAGTTTTTTTTGGCTCGATTTATTGCGCGTGAACAACTTTAGTTGGACTTAACTGTTCTCCCTTCATTCTCATATTTTTTCTCTGTCACTTTTTTCCCATATTATAATGAAAGTTTTTGAAGGGTCTTCCCTGTTCTGTGTTTAATGATTTCAAAAGTTTCACTGTTAATTTTAGATTGCACATATGTGAATTCCCACCTAATGAGTGCTGTCCTACCTTTTATGAGGCAGTGAAGGATGTCCCGTAGTTGTGATAGACAGGTGTGCTTCCTAGTGCCCCGTGTCATATGCCTGTATCATTGTTTCCAAGGTGCTTGTTTTAACATCCCTGAAACCCCAAGGTGTCTTAAAATTGCTGGTGGCCAGGTGGCAGCTGTGATGTACTGTCATTGCCTGCACTTGTACAGCCTTGATGGAGTCCCATGGCATGAGTGATTTTTGCATTCTCTTGGTTTTTCAGTCAACAAATGATATAAGGACATTTTGAGGAATGAGCATGAATCCTGGCTGTTTGTAAACTTTGAGTGCCTTTTACTTGAAAGAAAATCTGAGCACTCTTAGTGGAATACACTGTGTTTTAAGAAATCCTTTCCTCTTCAGAGCTCTTGGTGGTGTAGTGTCAGGTGAATAACATAAGCATTTGATGACTGAGTGAAAAGTGGTTCAGGAACTTGTTTTATATATTCAAAAGGAAATCTTTCAACTAATTCATTTTGCTTATATTTTCTTGCAATGTATGCAGAAGTAGTGATATTACATTGTATTATTATTTTAGTGCTTTTTCCTTCTCAGTGGTACATCGTTAAATTTGATCAATGGCTGCTTAGGTTCAGTGAAAAATGGCATGATTTTTAACTTATAGTTTTGAAATTTTAGATTTCTAAAAACTATCATTTTGGTTTTGAAAATCACAAACAAATGGTAATTGAAATTTGGATATAATATGAATCAAAATGTGTACATTTACTATTTAAGACAAATACTTGATGACTAGCATGAAATACAAGTTATTATAGCCATCAGGCTATTAGAATTTAATGCCAGTAGAAATATTTTTATTTATAAACATGACCTGGCCTTAAAGATGACAGTCTCTGTTCTACCTGGGGAGAAGGCAGTGGAAAACATTTTTATCACTTACATGATTTTAATAATTCTTTGAGATTCATCAGTTTATCCTTTCTATTAGTTCCCAAAGTTTGTCCTTCCTCTTTCTGCCCCCAGTGTTGAATATATTGAGTTCCTAATACCAGTCGATACCAAGAGGTGCAACTTTATCTCTAAAAAGATTCATAGCCAATATTGTAGCATATCGCATCTTTAGTTTTAATTATGAAACATGAATTTTTTTGTGTGTACTTTTCATAACTTGAGAAACATTTACTAACCCTTTGAAAGTAATTTTCCTCGTTTGAATTGGTGACCTTAGAATGAACACTCTGATTTCCTGGATAAATAAAAATGAGTGAAATTAGTCAGGATGCTGTATCTGGAGAAAAAGTTCAATCTTCAGATAATTCAAGGTTAATTTTTTCTTTCTTATGGTTGTAGGGCTATGCACCACCACCTAAAAATGGAATTGAGCAGAAGCGCCCTGGACGCCCTTTGAATATCACGTCTTTAGTTAGGTTATCTTCAGCTGTGCCAAATCAGATTTCCATTTCTTGGGCATCAGAAATTGGGAAGGTAAAAATTCTCTCCTCTATGTAGCATAAAACTGGGTATTGGTTTATTTATTTATTTATTTTTTCTGAGGGTACTGGCACTACCTTGTTTAATTTTCTGATTGTAATTTCTAAAAGGCAGTAACTCTGAATTCAGGGGTGGAGGTGTAGAGATTCTTAAGGTTAAAAACTTAAAGTTTTCCTGAATATTCCTTTGGAAAGGGAATAAAGGTAATGGTTTCTTCACAATGCTCTTTATGGTTGTGTTTAAATCGTATTTTAAGAAATTATAAACTTGGGTGATTTTATGTATTTATGAAGAGAAACAAAGAAAGCTTTGGAGGGATTGCTTTAATTTGTCAGTTTTCTTGTAGGGCACTGATTCCTAATTTTCATTTGCATGAACTGAATGTACCCTGGTGAAGCATTGGCTAAGGATTCAGAAATTCTTGTGTTAGTTACAGATTGACCATTGTTGATTTTGGCACACTTAATTTATCTTGAGGCATGCTTATTATAAAGATTATATAAAATCTTGAGAATGGGTGTTGGGTGCATATGTAAAGGATGATGTTAGTAAATGATCATAAGCATTGAAGATGTGGTGGTATTTTTGTTACATAATGGGAATAATATATTTTCCTTATAATTAAAATAATAAACTGACAAAATTTGCACTGTAAATAGGGTATTTTTTTTAAGATTTATTTATACAGTAACTGGGGTACAGGTCAGAGGCACAGAGGAGAGAGAGATTTCACCAGAGATAGAGAGGGGAGCAGAACAGGCAGACGGACACTGCTGAGATGGGCACTGCTGAGGGGAGCAGAGGGTGAGGCAGGGGAAGTCTGCCACGCCATGTGGGTTTCTCCCTGGCCGGCCGGGAATTGAACCCATGGTGCAGAGGCTGCTGACAGCTTCACGGTGTGGTGCTTAACCTACTGTGCCACCGGGGAGGCCCCATAAATAGGGTATTTAAATATTATTTAAAAGAACCATTGTAGGACATTAAAAATGATCTAAAATATTTTGTTGGGCAAATATTGAAAGTGTTTTGTTTATTGTGCAATCCATTGAATGAATATACATAATGAAATGGTAAAATAGATTTTTAACATTAGGCGAAGTAGTATATCAACTCTTCATAAGTAAAAATAACTAATGAGAGTTCCTTTGGGTGAGATCTAAAATCTGAGAGGCATGGGACTGAACACTATTACTTTCTGGCCTTGTCATTTTGATTTTTATCTTTGTTTGTCTTTTACTGTAGCAGCTGTCCCTCCCCAATAAAATATCCATTTGGGATGAAGAGTTAAATCATCAGTTTTCCTCAGAAGAAAGCTGACTTTGGGGTTTATTTAACTAATTTGTTCAAGGTTGTGTAGCAGGTCTCTTCTGCCAGAACTAGAACTTTGGAACACTACATTTAAAGTGTTAATTCAGACATTGGTGTTTGAACATTGATTTTCTGTAATGTACCCCATTTTTTATTTATTTTATTAAAAAAAAGATTTATTTTTATTTATTTGTGCATATAAGAACTGGGGTCTAGGCCAGAGATGCTTAGGGGGAGACCGGTATGAGAGGATTCACCATAAACAGAGCGGGAAGCAGGACAGGCAGATCTGCGGAAATACACTGCTGAGGGGAACAGCTGGTGAGACAGGAGAGGTCTGTTGCGCCATGGGGGTTAGTCCCTGGCTGGGGACCAAACTCATGCTACAGTGGCTGGCGATAGCTTTATAGTGCTGAGACTTAACCCCTTGTAACCTATTTTTTAATACTGTGAGAACCCTGTTAAGTAAAATCAGAACAATTCTAATTAGAAGTGGGCTTTGAGGAATGCATTCTCTTTCAGTCCTTGGAGATGACGCCTAACGTACCAGTTTTGCTAAACTAGAAGCTCAATTTGGAAACTACTGACCTAAGCTGGATGTTTTAAAGTGACTCGTAGTTGAGAAGTACCTAATATGATTAGGTATTTATCTTCCCTAAAGTAGCTGAGTTGATTTTGTCCCCTTCCTATAGAACTTATTTTGAATGTTATTTTTAGAAACTAGAATTTCTTAGATAAGTATTTTATGTAAAATAGGCCATTATGTCTGTCTTTAATACAGATTATCTTTCTTCGTAGAATTACTCCATGTCTGTTTATCTCGTACGACAGCTCACGTCAGCCATGTTATTACAGAGATTAAAAATGAAAGGTATTAGAAACCCTGATCATTCCAGAGCACTAAGTAAGTAATGTTTGAAGACTGACCATATGAGATTTAATGGGGGCGGGGGAGTGAGAAGCCTCACATAATACATCAATACAGGAACAATTTGGGAATAATTAGAAAACCTAAAAAGAATTTTGAGTTAAAAAATACTCTAAGAATGAAGCCCTGTAAGCTGAAAAATTCCGTTTTTAGAAACCACTCCCAAGAGGATCAATTTTAAATCCCAACTAGTCTGAATTTTACCCTTTTACCTCATTAAGGTAAACAGACATTAGCATGATGGTAGTTTTGATGTATACGTTGACTTGAGAGTAGGAACCCAAGCCTCCAGTATAAAGAGAAGTACATTGCAAGAAAAAATACATAAGCTCTTTTTACAAAAGAAATGTTGCTATCAACAATAACATTTGCCTTCCGAGGTGTATATTTGCAATGATGCTTTCATAATGTATAATAATAGAGAAAAAAGTTAACCCAAATTGTATATAATTGAGTTCAGTAACTGAATTTAGTTGAGTAAGATATTTTTCTGGAAAAGAAGAGTATTTTCCCCCAGTTAACTTTACCTTCCATGTCAGTGAATGGGCCAATAAGAAGAAAAGGATCCATAGGTTGAAAAAGGACCATGGAAGACTATTGAAATGGTGTTTTGTTCCTTATAGTTCTACGATTTCTCATTGCTTTAGACAGAATTGTTGCTCTTCCTTAGACTGAAAGCTGAGGAAGCTTTTCCCTAGTTTTTCTTGGTTCTTCCAGGTCCATTGTCTTCAGTTCCAATCCTATTCTCCCTATAATGGTGTTGAGAATTAGACTTTTGAACATCTGTGTACTTAGTAGTTTGTATATACAGTAATTTGCAAATAATATCAGGTGAATAAAATCACAGAAACATTAACATGTCCATAGTAATTTTCACTTGTCAAAAAAAGTAAAGAATATTTTTACTTTTTCTGTTTACAAATTTAACGGTTGTTGGAAACAATCGATATTTTGTAATGAAAAACAGTCATGAATGTGTATTAGTAAGAGAGAGAAGTTCAACTGTTGCTTTCTGAGTTCCTTTCCTAATTATATTGTCCTCAAGTCTGAAATAGCTTTCTGCTTTGAAACTCTTCCTTACCAGCAGTTTTACTTTTTTTTTTTTTTTAAGATTTATTTATTTTTACACAACAACTGGGGTACAGGCCAGTGGCACAGGAGGGTGACAAGATACACCAGAGGCAGAGCAGGGAGCAGAACAGGCAGATGACAGAAACACACTGCTGAGGGGAGCAGTGGGCACGACAGGAGAGGTCTGCGGCACAATGTGGGATTCTCGTTGGCTGGGATCGAACCTGTGCTGCAGAGGCTGCGGGCAGCTCCACAGCGCGGCGCTTAACCTGCTGCGCCACTGGGGAGTGGCGCCACTGCAGTTTTACTTTTAAGAAGAAAATTTAAAATTCACTTAAGCATGTGATGTAGAAGTTACAAGTTCATAATTTTTTCAGCTTATACTGTATGATAGTGTTTTCAATACAGTGATACTAAGTAGATTAATTTTTGTAGGTTTTATTTCATGTAGTTTCTTGAGTTATTTGAAGTGTTTGGGAAATTTTAAGTAAGATGATATGTATTTCTATAATTTCTTTCATATTTCAGAATTAATTAAAAACTTAAAAAAAAATTTTTTCCTTCTAGTTAAAGAAAAACTTACTGCAGATCCTGATAGTGAAATTGCTACAACTAGCCTTCGGGTATCCTTGATGTGCCCTGTAAGTAAAACTATTTTAGTCTGGGGTGTTTTACTTTTTATACATTACTAATTTTTTCTAAAAAGTGTGAAAATGAATGATATGATAAAATTCTAAACTTATTTTCCTGTTTAGACATCTTCATGATTGTTATGAATACAAAGAATGCAAGATTGTTTAGTCACTAAGAAAGATGAGCAGACCTTAAAGGATATGTATTAAAAAGTGACAGGAACTTTAGGTTCAGAATAGTTGGTCATGGTTAATTCTGTAGATAATCCATAGCTAATAATAAACACATGTTGAGAACTGGATTATTTTATCAGAATAGTAAAGGGCATTGAAAAATAGCAATAAAATTACTACAACGTAATTGATGTTAATTGATACTGGTTTAATGAGTTAGAATGTGTGAGATGTCTTACTCCCAATGTAATGTGCTTTTAAATTATATAATAATTTTTATCTTATGTCTCCTACCCTAAGACTGTGAAGATGAGTCAGTCAACAACTCAGATCCTACAGAGTATTTGGTACTTAGCTAATTGTGGGAGGAAATACAAAAAGCTTGAGATTATCAAAAAATTAAAAGTCTAGTTTGAGAGCTAATGCCAGCTCACATGAAAAAGGAGCCTCCTGTGCTTAGTACAAATAGTTGTGCTATTGGAGTCCCGAAAAAGAGGTAGGACAGGTCAGGAATAGTATGAAGGCTTCTTTAAATCAGTAGTGTTGGAGGGAACCTTATCCAGATGAGACAAACTTTATGAGAAATGTCATGAAATCAAGAAATAATAGTCCAAAACCTATGTCTTTGGGGCCAAAGGAAGGTAATTTCACAGTAATTACTGAAGAAGGATCTCAGAGTCTGTATAATTTTATTGCTGAACACCATATTTGAATTATACACTGGAGTTGTGTGCTGATGAAGTCAGTTAAGTGATTTTCAGTGTATCCTGCAGAGGGGGCTAGGTGCTTGGGGAATCGAAAAGGAAACCAGGTCTGATATTTATCTCTTAAAATTTAAGTCAGTATGTTACCCAAAACAAAAGGATCTGCTGCTACTAATAGTTTGGAACCGATTTGAGCCATTTTTACTTATAAGCTCTTTTTTTTTTTTTTTTTAAAGATTTATTTATTTATTATTTATACAAGCACTGGGTACAGTCAGAAGCACGGGAGGGTGAGAGAATTCACCAGAGCCAGAGTAGAGATCAGAGCAGGCAGAAGGACCGAAGTACACTGCTGAGGGGAGCAGCGGGCAGCAGGAGAGGTTCTGCGCACCATGTGGGACCCTCCTCCGGAGGCCGGGAAGCAGCCGGGGATCGAACTGGCGCTGCAGAGGCTGTAGGCAGCTTCGCAACCCAGCGCTCAACCGCTGTGCCACCGAGGAGGCCCTACTTATAAGCTCTTAGTTTAGATAATTAGGATGGATGATTTTAGATACTCTACAGTGAAGTGGAAATCAGTTTAGATAGTAGTCACTTACTAATTAAAAAGTGTTATATTGGTTAGACATCATTTCATGCATAAAAACAATAAATTTCAAAATAATACCATTATCTGACTGAGTAGAATTTAGCACATTCAAATCTTTGTTAACACATGCCATAATTGGTATTAGGAAAATTTTCGGACTTTGTAGTCGGTAATAAATGCCTTCTTAAGTTGGGCGAGGCTCATTAACTAATGTAAGATACTAGTGTAGGATTAATTTTAAAACCAGCAACTTCTGTAGTTTGGGATGGTTGTCATTTCTGCATGCTTGGAAATTCTAAAGTAATGACAAGAAGAGATGAAAGTTGTATAGAAGGAAAGAATGGAGTAGCAGTCTGCAAAGTGTGGTCCAGAGATAGCTGCTTATCCCTAAAACTCTTTTAGGAGGTCCACAGAGTCAGAACTACTGTTATTACAATGCTAGGACACAGTTCGTCCTCTTTTTGCTCATTCTCTTGTGAGTAGACAGTGGTTACCTTGTTCCCACTTTCTAACTTTGTAATGTTTGTTTAAGTTATTTGGCTTGTTTGTGCCTCAGTTTCCTCATTTGTGGAACTATATATCAACCCTATAGTATAGTTGTTAGATTTAAATGCAAGACAGCTCTCAGATTTATGTGAATTACTCAGCATTGTACCTTGCATATAGCTAGAACTCCATAAGCCTTAGTTATTGCTGTGGTGACAAATTGCTGAATTATTTTCTTTTTAAATTCCAAAACAGTGAAATATTAATTTTATATGAAAGAGAGTAGAGAGAAATCAAAAGGAAAAAGAAGAACATTCTTCAAGTCTTACCCTTAAAAGTAAGGCAACTAATGTTACAGTTTTGCTGTGACTTCTTACAGGCTTTTTAGTACATGTAAAGAAGTCCTTCTCTCTTCACTTCCTTTCTCTTTGCCCCCTTTCCAGTCCTTCTCCATTTATTCCACCATTTAATCAACAAATACCAAGCATGTGCTCCATGCTAGGTAATGTGCTCTGAACTTGGATTACAGTGATTAACATCGACATAGACCATGTCCTTTTGGGGCTCATAGTAGGAACAACAGATTTTCTGTCAGGATAATACAGCTGGTTAAAACTGAGATGTTTTCTATAAGGAAAGTTCGAAAGTTTGTACAGGAAGACCTGATCTGACCTAGTCTGGGTGTACACCTCTATGAACTGGAATGAGAACTAAACAGGACTATAATTACATAAAAGTACATTGAAACATCAACACACATGATTACATAAAAGAAAATTTAATAAATGAAAAATATATTTGCAGTTCATATCACATATATAAAAAAGGCTGATTAATGTAGCGATTCTATAAATAGATAGCCAAAGGGAAAATGAGAAAGGGTTATGAATAGCTGGCTCTTGGAAACACAAATGACTCTGAGAAGTGAAGAAAGAGGCTCAGCTTCACTTATAAGGAAAATGTAGTCACACTGTTGTATTTTTCACCTGTCAGATTGACAGAGGTCAAAGAATTCAGGGGAGCTGTATTGACAGGTTTAAGGATTAACAAGCACATTAATACATGCATATGTGTAAAACAGTAAGTAACCTCTTGTTAGAAGTTTGTCAATGTGGCAAAAATCACAAATGCACATTCCCTTTTCCCCAAAAGTTCACTTCTAGGTTTTATCCTATAGATATTTATTATAGCATTATTTGTAGTGATAGAGATTGGAAACCATTTAACTGTCTACCTCTGGGGTACTGCTTCAATAAATAATGATCCTTTGTATCATATACCACATATCAATTATGATACTTTCATATCATAATTTATATACTGATAGATGTGAAACAGTCATGAACACCAAGTTATACTGTGACAGTAGGTGCAGGATTGTGTATTGCATGCCACCATTTGTGGGAAAATGTCTTTTAAAATGCACACTTGGTTATGCATAAAACATCTATGAAAGGCTATGCCAGAGATCGATAACTAGTTCAGTTTAGAGCAGGTGAGAGATATGTTTTCATTGTATATGTATCTTTCCCTATCTGTGATTTTACATGTTATCTATTTGCAAAAATAAAATGGTTTTTTAAAAATCAAAAGGGAATGAATGAATACAAAAAATTATATATAGTGACCTTGATGGAAATAAATTCTAGTTTGAATTTTCTTTTTCATTTTCAGCATCTTTATGACTTCTTTGGTCTTCTATCTTCTTTGAGTCTTTGTTCTCCTACCTGAAATGGTTTCTCGTTTTGTCTTCCCTGTTCTGTAGTTAGGAAAAATGAGATTGACAATCCCGTGCCGTGCAGTGACTTGTACACACCTGCAGTGTTTTGATGCTGCCCTTTATTTGCAAATGAATGAGAAGAAGCCCACCTGGATTTGTCCTGTGTGTGACAAAAAAGCTGCCTATGAAAGTCTAATCTTAGATGGGTAAGTATATTCCAAAATAGTTAGTAGCTCTGTCTCTGTTCAGTATGGCATAAAGTCCAGATATTTGTGTTTTCTGATTTATACTTAATCATACTAAATCTTATTTTTTAAACTGTGATTAGTGGCTCCTTTATAACAGTTTGTTTGGGGTATGAGATGTGTAGTTTCCTTTTACTTCCGCTTTTTAAGATCATATTTCATAGCATATAAAAGATGAAAACCCAGTCAGTGATGTCATTTTGCTTACTTAGAGCTTTTGAAGAAACAGTTAGGGTCTCTGCAAAAATGTAGTGCAAATAGTAGGTGGATGGAGTTGCACAGATGATCACCATGCAGCTGGAATTAATGCACAGATTTTTCTGACTATGGAGTCCAGACTCTTTAAGCATTGTGTCTCATATTATATTGCATATGTCAGAATCTGGAAAATGATGTAGTTGTCAACAAGTGGGATATTATTGAATAACACTTAAAAAAATTGTATCAACTAAGTACCATTATAAGATTTAGAAAATAATTAATGAAAAGATTAAGATAATCAAAAGCTCATCCTATGGTGAATTTTTTACTGACATATTAAAAAGATTGAAACTGTACTTTGTATAGTGATTTGCATGTACATAGGATTTTCTCTCACTATATAATGAAAAGCATTCTAGATCTAGATTCTTGTACAGCAGTTTTTTCTGAGGATTTAAAAGGAATTTGGTAATGACAGGTAAGTGAAACTTTCACTTTTCTCTTTGTACTTTTACTTTACTATAGATTTTTACTTTTTAAATCTTTTTGACTGATTTTGAAAGAATTTCACATGTAAAAAGAATTTGCAACAGCAGCAGATTCCTGTGCAACTTTGACCCAGATACATCAAGTGTTAACATTTTGCCATATTTGTTTCATCACATTCTCTCTTAATATTCATGTGCATGCGCACACACACACACACAACCCTTTGGTTTATGTGTTTAGGGAGAGATGATTATTATTACTATTTTTAATTTTTTTTGAACCATTAATATCTTAGGGTATGTTTCCTAAATTCTTGATATTCCATTATGTGGGTATGCTGCTAATTATTTAAATACTTATCTACTGTTCCATAATATTTGTTTCTGCTTTTTCTTAAGTTGCCTTGTGATAACATTTTTGAAGGTTTTTTTTGTATATTTCTTTTAAGTCCTTAGCTGTTGAAATAATGAATCAGATGATAAAATCAGAATTTTAAGGTTTTTATGATTTATTATTAAGATACCTTGAAGAAGGGCTAAACTATTTTACTTTCTTAGTAAGTTAGTCACTCTTCTGCCAGCATTGTTTTAGGTCTTCTCGGTCTTCTTACCAACTGATCATAGTAAATACTGTTTTCAGTGCCATTACCAGTTGTTTACAGTGTGAGGTATTAAAATGCCAGAGCAAACAAACATTCATAGAATATTGCCTTTCTTTTGCCTCCAAGGTAATATGTATACATTATTATTTCATCTTTGAACAAAGCCATTGATTACACTTACGTATTTTTTTAATTGGTTTATAGGCTTTTTATGGAAATTCTCAATGACTGTTCTGATGTGGATGAGATCAAATTCCAAGAAGATGGTTCTTGGTGTCCAATGAGACCGAAGAAAGAAGCTATGAAAGTATCCAGCCCACCATGTACAAAAATAGAAAGTATGTGCAGAGGGGCAGCAGGGAACAAAGCAATGAGACTTGTACAGCATAGTCCTTTTAATTAACCTTGGCCACTAGAACTACATTTGGGATTCAGTTTGCTAACTTTACCTTTTAATCATCTGTTATATACATAATTTTTCTCAAGTGAGTTTTAAGAAGTATGTTGAAGTTTATACTATTTATAATGAGCCTTCTCACAGTATTTTTTTTTTTTATGTAAGGTAAAGGAAATAGTCACCTAAAATCATTTTTATATGTGGTGTGTCTTACAAGACAAAAAGGTATAAATGATATTTCTATGAACAATTTTTACATTGTCCCAGGTGGAGTTGTGGCTGAAGAGACAGTATCATCCATTGGGGAGGAGGGGGGACAAGGCCACAGATTGGTAGCTTAAAAAAATGAACAAATTGTTTTCATTTCTTTGTGAAAGGAATTTGACCATTGTTTTAGTTACCCAAGATGTACTTTAGTCCTAACTTCCTGCACCTGTCCACACTGAGTGGGGAAACTAAAGGCAGACTCAGTAATTGAAACCTATAGGTGAACTGAAAGTTTCTTTTAATGTGACATAGTCTACTTACTGCATCTGATTTTTGTGCTGACTATGTTTGACATTTTATCAATGTAATAAAAGCATATAATGTCCAAACTAGAAAGAGAGGAAAAGTAAAGGATTCATGTCACTATTAATCATTAAGTATGGAACGATGAAAGTTTCACTCATCTTTGAGAAAACCAGTGATTTAGTTGATTGGTTGCTATTGTTTTTCTTTCATCAACTAGCATTCATTTCCTGCTAAATAAATTATATTTTCCTATGAAATGGTGAGTTAACATGGCACATAAGACTATTTTAGTAGGCAGAGGAGAGGTCCTAATTGATAATAAAAGGTAGTGATGTCTGAATAAGTTAAGTGAGAAGTCTGGAGTATTTTCAACTTAGGAAGGTGAAAGTTTTTATCAAGTTCTGGCTTAAGATGAAGCATCTGCATTACTTTGCTAGACTGGAACTCTCTGATTCTGACTTAACATTGCCTTATGTCTGTGAGAAAATACAGCCAGTGAAGCCAAATATTCTCATCCATGGGGAGACCTTCCCCTTTACTCCATGCATCTGTAAAATGAGTCTTACTTGCTTATATGGGGAGACAGAGTGAGTAGCAGGATATGTGCCATTCCTTTGGCAGCATTAGGAGGCAGCTAAGAGCATACTTTCCGAAGGAGGCTTGACCCTGAGCAAAGCATAGAGGGCACCTTATCTCCCCAGATAAGCACTCATTTTATAGACAGATGTCTGGAATTAGGGAGTTGGTTTCTGCTCAGTTTATGGCTATACTGGCTATGCATTCTTCTTGATGTACTGCACAGTTAAAATTCTTAGGACTAGAGTTTGTGTTACACCTTTGAGATATATATATATATATTTTTTTTTTTCTTTTGTTTCCTAAATGCAGGTTCAAGTGTCCTCAGTAAGCCTTGTTCCGTGACAGTAGCCAATGAGGCAAGCAAGAAGAAAGTGGATGTTATTGATCTAACAATAGAAAGTTCTTCTGATGAAGAGGAAGACCCTCCTGCCAAAAGAAAGTGCATCTTTATGTCAGAAACACAAAGCAGCCCAACCAAAGGGTTTGTTAATTTATAGTTCACTATTGTTTATTATACTTGGAACTAACTGTTCTTGGGATAGATTTGTAAATGTCTTTGAGACTTGCATAACCATAGAAGGCTGTTTTAATTTGCCTTTGTTCTGTTGAAATGTTTTCAAGTGAGAATGTTTATAGAAAGGCAAATTTTGATGAAGAAATGTTCCCATCTTTGGGAAGTGGGAGTCGAGAGCTGCTCATGTTTAAATATTTCATATTTGTTTTACTTAATACTTGATACATTTTCTCAAGCCTATTTATAAGGAGTAAATTTGCCATCACAGACCAACCTGAGGAAGCATGGTGTAATGGTGTGGAGTGGGGAATCCGACGAGTGTGGATTTCAATTCTGGCACCTCTGCTTACTCCCTCTGTGATCTTGGATGAATACTTGATTTGTTTGAGTCTCCGTTTTCTCTTCTGTAAAATGGACTTGAATAATGCCTACCTCATAAGATTATTTTTAGGTTTCAATAAGGTGACAAAGGAGTTTAGCCTCGGTGTTAGTTAGGCACATGGTAGTTTCGCTATAAGAGTTGATTGCCTTTTCTTCTCATCCACCCCAGGGCAAAATGTGGACAAGTAAATGCATTCTAGCATGTATTTTTTATGATTCCTCTGGCAGAAACCATTAAATGACTGGTCTAAGTATTTAGCAATACTGGCTTCTTATATGGAGATTGGGAACCTGTAAGAAAGTATCAGAACATCTCTTGACATCCCATGAACACATTTCTTCAAATCTCATCTCTTTAGTCTCTCAGTGCACTTATGTGTTCTAGTGATTTTATTGGGGTTATAATAAACATGCCATAAAATTCACCCATCTTCAGTGTTAACCTGTACAAGTAAATGATTTTAGTTAGCACAGTTATCGTCTCCTCGTCACAGTTCAGTTGCAGAATATTTCTAACATTCAGAAAACAACTTTCCTGTTCCTGTCCGGTTAATTTTCTTTCACACCCTAAATCTAGGCAACCATTGATTTTTTTCCCCATCTCTATCAATCTTACTGTTCTATACATTTTATATAAATGGAATTATCCTCTCAGTGCACTTTTTGCACCTTTCTTTTTTTTAATCAATATTTTTGAAACCAATAGAATTAAATGATCTGTGCTTCTTTCCTCATTGTTAAAATACTTGTATGTGCGGGTATGACTTACATATAATAGTAAGGTTGTATATTTTAATCAATGAATTTTTTGTAGTGGAACAAAAATGATAAAAGTAGTTTGAAGTGGGCTTCTTTTTCCCTCTTTTTAATAAGGATATTTATAATTTATTGCTCCTTTCAGACAATTTGGTACTTCTAGACTATAAATGATAAAAAATGAAACATTTTTTAAATGGTTGCTAGAGGGAGAGCCAGGCAGTGAGTACTTACATGTGGTATTTCCAGACTTACTCTGTAGTGATAACCCTTAGAAGATGCTGGAAAAACATGGGTTGCATGATAATATAGATAGATTCAGACTAGGTTAAAGGGTAGTGCATAGTGACAGACTCATGGATTGATGTGGCCTTGGAGGGTATATCTGGTAGCATGACAGTTAGAGGAGGGTCTTCGCCTCTATCCGTCCTGTAGCATGGTTGATCAGTATTTGATGGGACATGAAACTGGAGGAATGCTACATACATTTGGTGACAATCTGAAATCACCTAATAAGGATCCTTCATACCCGTGGCAAGGTACCATAGAGATAGATGTAAGACTCCTCATCTAGATGAAAAAGAAAACAAAACAAACATTGTTAAGCATAAAGTAGAAATTTGGCAAAATCGGCAACTCTGAATTGCAGCTACATAGCTCATCCCCTAAGTCAGTAGGACTCTTTGCACCCAAACTAGATTTATAATTTAACAACTATTCAGAAAACCCTTCTGAAATAGGATCACATGGAAAGAAAAAAGAAAATTCTGAATTCAGTCTTAGGAAATCATTTAATTATGTATTAAAATGGCACCCACTACCACCAAGTAGGGTTTATCTAGGAATGCTTTAATACTAGAAAATATAGACAATGCAATAATAAAAATTATAGTGAATTTTGAAAGTTATGTTTTGAGAAATGACAATTCTAAAGTTAAATTGAAAAATAAAAATTACAAAAGTAAAAAAGGAGATACATTGATAAAATGAATTTCATGTAGTTTTCTTAATAGATACTGGAAAGGCACTCAATAAATTAATAGCCGTTGTTGATAGACTGTCTTTGAAATATCAAAATTCATTTACTGCTTTTATGAATCTCTATTAAAGCTGATTTGTCCTTAGACAGGATAGTAAAAGAAATAGGGTCGGTTACATACTGATGCCAGTTTTGTTACATTTTAAGCTAAATAGCCCTCACTTGGAGCATTTCAGTCAATGCTCATCATCAAGAATGATGAGTACGCAGAGGTGGAGAACCTGGGTGAATAGGGCCACTGTCACATGATGGTAGCTGTTAAAACCAGGAGAACATGATGGTGAGAGTTACCTTGAGTTCTTAAAAGGGAGACGTTGATAACTGGGATTAGTTTATTCTTTGTTATAACATTTGGCAGATCTTAGTCAGGTAAAGGAAAAACTTTCCATTGGAGTTTTCCGAACGTTAAGAAAGTTGATGTTTTAATAGGAAAGGAAGAGTGAATGCAACCTCTGGCAGTGCCATGGTGGGATCTTAGGCTGTAGTTTCATCACTTCTGCAATCCCTTCCAAGTATTATGTTTCTGTGGTTTTATTCCTAGTCCTCTTTTTCATATCCTCTCTTGTGGCTCAACATCTAGAATGTTTGATTTTTCTCTGCTTAGTTTATTGTAGAAAGACTTGGTCAGTAATAGTAAGGAGAAGAGCAAGAATGTAGTATGAGAAACCAGGAAAACTCACTGTTGCAATCTAGAAGTTATATGAACAGTTATGTGAACAGGACTTCTTTTTAAGAACTCCTGTTTTAGTAAAAGCTGTTCTTACAGTTCTACAAAGAAAGACTTGTTCCTCCTGGAGCAGCCACTGTTAACCTTACTCTAGTAATCCTTCTAGCCCCTTCTCTTGCACATACCTATTGTAGTGTTTAAATGCAGTCATATTATACCTATCAGAAGAAGGTATCGTAATTTAAGACCTTTTCTATAAAATGTCTAGTATTTTTCTTCATCAAAAGATAATTTAAAATATTATGCCCTTGCCCCTTGGCCTAGAAATTGAATGATTGCTTTGTCATTAACAAAGTGGTATTCTAAAGACAGGAAATAAAGAATAAGGATAAATAAACATGTCTCCAGATAAGAACCACTAGAATTGATAGTAAAGTTAGATTTTTTAAATAGTTTTATGATTATAAAGTGGGAGCACAGAGTGAATTTCAGGCTTTTCATAAAAATTCAAGTTTCTGAATTGTGTACCCATTTTTTGGACTATCTATGTCTGGGCCAAATATGAGGACTTCAGTGCCCCCAGCATACAGTCCAGAGTACTAGCATTTGCTGTCTAGGGATATTCCATTTTGTGCTATGATATTATAGATAAAGATACAAAAAGTTAAAGTGTGTAAGTACGCATGCATAATGTATTTGCCTGTGTGTGTATTTGCCAGTCCTATGAGAAGGCAGTAATAAATGTTAAAATTTATAAGTTATAATTACTTTATAACATTATGTTTTATGCCCATAATTTCACCAGATGGTGCTATTTATATTACTTCTTGGTCCCCGTTATTTCATATTTATTAAATGCATCTATTTTTTGCACAAGCATTGGGATCATTGAACCTTTCTGAATTTTGAAAGATTCTGATAAGAACAAAAATCTCCTATCAAGACATAAATTGATGATCCTAAAAAACCACTGATTTCACCCGTTCTGTGTTTTACTGAATTGAAAAGTTGCCAAATTCAAATAGGAATAAACCTACTCTAAATAGTTTATCAAATGTTTGGTAAATGTTTAGGCGTTGATTTAATAACCTGTAAACCTCCATTAGATTTTAACATTTCCACATATTGTGACAGTCAACATTTTTTATTGGAGAAACGAGGGATAATTAATCATTTAAAGTTTCATGTAATGGCAATAGAACATATACAAAATTAGATATTACTGTGGTGACAGAAAGTGTGTTGGGACACTGACCAGACTCTTGCAGATAAAAGGAGCCAGGTAGTAAAGTGAGTTGTAGTTTTCTAGAAATCTGAAAGTTGAAGGATCAATGCAAAAGAAAATAAATTTCTAATGCGAGATATCAGTGAAAGAGATATGGGGGCAAGAGGGAGGGCAGACATCATTTAAATGTACATTTAACAGAAAATTTTCAAAATAAAATTATGTGTGGTGTGATGTTTTCAAAGTGGTTCTTAGATTTAAATAATAAAATAAAATTAAGAGAATAATACCACGAGGCAGCCAGAATTGTGGGAGCCGCTTTTTAAGCCCCTTCCTTAGCACTGACATACCAGCTTCTTTCCCCTGGCCCGCTGTGTCTCCTTGCCCACTTTGGTAAAAATTCCTGTTTGAGAAGTGGGATTATGTGTAATTTGAAAACACTTTCCGTGATTTCCTTTTCTTCCACTTTTATCTTTGTAGAGACCACTGTTTCCAAACCTCCAGAAAAAGATGAACTTTTATACAGCATAACTAGCTTATTCTCATCCCAACTTCTCTCTTTCCTCTCTAGACTCATAAAGGTATCCTGACTTATGTAAAATCTTATGAGTCATCTGTTTTAATTGGAAGTTTCTTGATAGATAAAATCACTACTATTCACATATATACCACATACACATTGATAAAAGCAACTGTAAAATGTTTTTGTATTTGTGCAACAAAGTGTTATATATTACTCCAGCACTGTACATTATGTTTTAATGCCAACTTGCTCTTATGTCACAGCTGCTGTTGAGAGCCAGCATACATTCATGTTAAAAATGAAGATTGTTATGAAAGAGGAGAGTGGAGGACTGTGTAGTGAGTAGCTGCCGTATAGTTGGTATTGAAATGCAGTGACTTAATGACTGAGTATGCCCAATGGTGCAGCCCTTCTCTCCTGTGAACTAACAGCCAGATTGTTTGTAATTTTCCATGCTATTTAAAACAGGGTTCTCATGTATCAGCCATCTTCTGTAAGGGTGCCCAGTGTGACTTCGGTTGATCCTGCTGCTATTCCGCCTTCATTAACAGACTACTCAGTACCATTCCACCACACGCCAATATCAAGCATGTCATCAGATTTGCCAGGTATGTGCAGAGTTTTTTGTTTTGTTTTTACCAAGTTTTATTATTTATTTTCACTCTTAATCTGTGGAATAGTCTTAAATAGGAATGCTAAGGAAATTTGAAGCTTCGTGGACAGGTAGCATCTATTTAATATGTCACATTCACACCCTGTCTATATCATTTCAACTACAGAGCAATCTAGATTCCTGATGATAGGAAATACAGTAGGATAGTAGGGCGGTCAGAAAATTTTATAGGGTTTATTCTCTCATAGATAATTTGTACTCAGATTTTTTCTTCATCTCTCCTAGAAGTGTCACAGATTAGGAAGAGTATTTTTCCATACTCTTCTTGGTAGCCTGTCACTTGCTGCTAGCCCACCAGGACTTTAGAATATACTGGTGTGTTGTGGGTTCAGCACTGCCTACCAGTTTCATTTACCCTCCAGATTTTTTTCCCATGCAAAGATAGACTATACCAGGCGTTCAAAACACTGCTTAAATTTTGGGACATAATTTACATACGCATTAACTGAAGTTTTAAAGAAATTCAAGTTTGCTTGAATTACCTTAGTACAAAGACTTATGCAACAACCAGCAGCCATATGAAATTAAAGGAAAATTTAAGCTCTTTCCTCACTCCATAGCCATTGTTTTTTCCAGAGCATTCTTTAATCAATCATATTTGAACAAGTTAGAACTAGGACCTCTTATATTCATGACTTTTCCTTTTTTCAAAAGGGCCCTTTTAGTGAAATACAGTTTCTTCCTCCTATTATTTTCTAAATTTTGAAGTTAATTTTAATCTTTGGTTATTCTTCCTTTCCCTCTTAGTGAGGTCTTTATTTTAAGCACAATATTTATTCTATTGTGCAAAATTATTGTTACTGAAACAATTAGGAGTTGTGTTATCTGACCCAGTGTAATTTAACACTTGAATTTTTTTGAGAGTACTTGAATAAAATTTCATGAAAAAGACTACACTAAAAATAATACCCATCAAAAAAATTTAAAGACCATTCACATTTTAAGTATGTTTATTCCATATGTATTTTGGGATTAGTGTTTTAGTTTGTAAGCCCAGCTAGCACTAGTTGCAGATAGCATTTGTGACATACAAGCTTGATGCTGAGGTGCAGGTCTAGTTTCATAGTCCATGACAAAGTGGGAAGCTCAGTTTTAATTCCTAACTGCCATATTTTGCTTTGGCCTTGACTAGTTTTAAGAGAGGTGGAAGAGTTGTCCACATGTCCTTTTAGTGTTATAAGCAAGCATTCTAGAAGGATTCATTTCCAAAAGATGATGAATAAAAAATTATTCCTAAGAAACAAACAAACAAACAAATGCATTTTGTATACTGAAGTGACTTTGGCCATTTAGTTACAGATTAGAGACAATTTATAAATCACTTGCTCTTGTTTGTTTTAAATTATGTGCATCAGGATGAATTTTAATTTTGGAGAGTTTGCATTAATTTATAAAATGTGGACATTGGAGAAAAATTCAGTAAAATATGTTTACTGTATTTCATAGAGTAAACTTTAGGCTGGTACTAAAGAAGTAAAACTAATATCCAGGACTTATATTTAGCCAGTATAAACCAATATGGTGATACTAGTTATTAAATGTTGAATGCTTTCTTGCCACTTGATAATATAACTAAGATCTATTGTACTTTAGAAGAATTACCAGTTTATTGTCATTTATGAATTATATAGCAGCTACTACATCTAAATAGTTCAGTTTTTACTCTGGTTTTATTGTTAATGTGCTCTTTTATAATTAGTAATTACCTTGGTTTTATTTTGTGCATACCTTTTATGTAACTAGTGTAATTTTTATGTAATTAGTTTTGATATTTAGAATTTTAATAATTTATAATAAAATATTAAATAGAACACCAAGAATGGAGATATGACAGTTTTAATACATTTAACATTCCTTTTTAAACATCATAAACATGAATCTTCTGAATCTGCAGGAGAACAAAGAAGAAATGATATTAATAATGAACTGCAGCTTGGAACATCTTCTGATACTGTGCAACAGTGAATACAAAATAAAACAAATAATTTGTATTTATGGAATGGAAAACAGCTTGATTATTTCAAGAAAAAATATGACTGCCTTATTTTTGCTAGTGCCATATTGTCAGGTGCGAATGGTGCTCAAAAGATGTATCATTAAAATTTGAAAGTGCTAAACATTTACATATATTAATTCTGTAGCAATCATGTTTTGTTACAAGTTCATGACTCAAGTAAGGAAAATGTGTTATTAATAAGAGTGGGAAAAAAACCATTTCATATAAAGACATATTTAAAATCTAAAAACTACAATTTTGCCAGTGTTACTAAAATTTTACCAATTTTGCCAGTGTTACTAAAACATTTAGAATTGTACCACCAGAATTTTTAACACCACCTGCTTTTTAGTTAAAAATAACTGAGCATTTTCAACTATGAAATACTTCAGAGGGCATAGGAATCTACCAATATAACTTACTGCAGTGGAAACTTACGGTGAAATAAGAAAACAGCCTTTTGCTTAATGTATAAAACCAAGGTGGTAACATTTTAGTCACGATTCATGAAACTTCATATATTTTGTATGGAGTTTTAATAGTTTACTTAAAATGTAAAATGCAAGACTGATAATAGCTTGAAATTTTTTATTAGGCAGAAAAAGGTCTGAATTATTATATCTAGCTTCAGTGTTAGGGTATCAGAAGACATAGGCCAAGAAAGTGTCTTAAATCTTTTCTCAGTAGACTATAAAATTGCTGGCATGGATGAAGTCATAATCATCAAAGAAAAATACCACACATCTAAAGAATTGGGATTGAAAGAATGAAAACATGAAGAGTCTTTCCACCTTCAGTGTACTAGAGGGCAGCCTCCAGTACTAGAGCTGCAAAAACATTCTGAATATTGTATCAAATTGGCAAATTTTTTTAAGTTGTGAAGTTATGAAGTAGGAATGGTTAACATCTAGAAAGTGATTTGGCTTTATTGCATACTATTGCAACAGATAGCATCCTGCTCTTTAGCTTTATAAGAAAATTAGTTAATCAAATCAACTAAGCTATTCAATAATCATTACATGATGGTGATCGAACATATAAAATTAAACTATAAAAAGCAGAAGCTGTTATAAGAAGAAAGTGGTTGTACCATTTGAAGCCAAACAGAATAAAATTAACCAAATAATTAAATGGCATGCTAGTAAACTATTTTTTGTGACTTGTCAATGCAGGTTTTCCCAGTTTAGAGGCAGTAGAATCTTTTATAAGTTGTAAAGTAAAAAAGCAGTTGCCACTAATTTATGTGGGAAATATTTTTGAGTGTCCCCAGACCTAAAATATAACCTACCAAACCATACCAAATAACACATCAGGGCTAATACAGCACTGACATAAAGTTAAAGCAGGAGTGATGCACAGCCTGTAAGTGTAGGGAAGGAGTGGGGTTAGGCCACATGCCACTTGAGGCGTTGGCTGCCCTTAGAACTAATAGCAATACAAAATCTCTTTTTCCCTTGTTGCTTTTTGTTGTAAAAGTAAAAATCCTCCTTGGATTTTTCTGGTTCGCGTAAACAGGTAGTAACACAGGTCTCTCATAAAATTGAAGTGGCATGAGGAGCACTTTTGAAAAGCTGGAAATACCTGTAGTAGAAATGTTTTGAATATAAAAAACTCTCAGGAAGTATTATAAGGGCTACACAAATTTTGAATAATAGAAACAGGCAATTTACCGAATAATATCAATGTGAAGAGAAACTCTGCTTTTGAGATGTCACCCACTGGTCATAAATGTTATAGGAAAGTTGTTGGAAAGGTTTGTTGCAATGCCCTCTATCTAACTCAGATCTCACTATATCATATGGATAGTGATAGTCATATGAAGTGAAAAGTATTATCAACAATTAGGGAAAATGCTTTAGAAATTGAGTGAATTTTTCCAGTGAATGTTGCTATAGCTTGTATCACTTGATCATAGCCTTATATCCTCTTTAGAGATTATAAGGGAATAAATATACTTAAAAATTTTGAGTTATAAGTTATTCATATTGTCCATTAAATATTTTTATTGTCCCCACCAAAATAGTATTCTCTATTTTGAATAATGATATAGTACCAGACTTTCACTCTGTATGATTGTTAAATTTGAGGTGACATGGAATACCATGTCACCAGTATATAGGAATTTATAGAATCCAATAGAAATAGTCTTGTCTTAGTGACCTATACCTAGTATGTGACTTTTTTAAAATTTGTATTTATACATATTTTTAAATTTTATTTTATACATTTTTTTACATCATTTTTCATTTTTGCACAATGTATGCATTTTCATCTTGGTTATAGTCCCCATACAATTCCCACCCCTTTGTTTTGATCCTACTCCCTCCTCCCTGCCCCACCCCCCGTAGTGTGTTTATATAGTACGTGATTTTTATTTAATGTTTTGAAATTTAGTCAAATTGATCTTGAAGTTTACTACTTGATTTTTCAGACCTGAAATTTATACTTATAACTTTAATACTTCAAAATGGCATTACTGGGCAATCTTATACACATACCTATTTCTGAAGCATACTTGGAGAATCCCAGATCGTTAGTTTCGAAAACACATTAGCTTACAGTCCAGTAAACTTGGATAAGATCAACTTGTTAGTGAGCTGTGGTTAGCAAGTGCTTGCTTTGTGCAGCAAGGTGGGCTATATGTGACTTGGATGAACAGAAACAGAGAGCTATCCGTGCAAAAGACATCTGTTTAAGAAGTGATATTTTAGATAAAGCTTAATGTAGTGTATTTCTAAAAAAATAAATGTGAAATACCGTATGAGTCTAAGTATGCTTGTTTTTTTTTTTTTTTTTAACATTACGAATGCAGATCTCTCTCTCTTTTTTTTTTTTGGTTTCTCATTCTGTTAAGTGGTGAAGGGGAAAAGTTTGCCTTGACTAGTTCTTCTTCTCTGGAAATTTTTGAACTGCTACCTTTAAGTCACTGGGAGCTGTTTTTTCCAGTTTATTGCCAGAAATTATGTTCATTTGGGGGTTTTATGCACATTAAATATCACTGATCCATGGTGTAGAACTTCCCTATGGCAGAATGGTAAGCTCTGATTCCCAAATGTTTTGTGACTTATGAAAAATACAAAATGATTTGGGGAAATAAATTCTTGTCTCCAAAATAAGAGACAAATATTAACAAAACATTTTTGTTTTAGGTTTGGATTTTCTTTCCCTTATTCCAGTTGATCCCCAGGTATGTATCCTGAATTTAAGCAACTAATTTGTATTTGATTGTTTGTTATGTCATACTAACTAAAAATTACCAGTTGCATAAAATCAGGACAGTCAACTCTCACTTATTTAAATTGATGGAAAGGAAGTACTATATAAATTTTTCCACTTTCATTTGGAGGAGTGAAGTTTGCTGTTTTTTAATATTCTGGCCTTGGTTCCTCAATTTTTTAAATTATCTTTTACTTAGTTTAATAACCATTTGACATTTCTTATAAGCGATTAAGTGAATGAGGGGAAGAAGCAATGCCAGAGGGCCAGAATGTAAAACTTTAGAGAGATAAATTATAAAACACTTGTTCTGTAAGATGTGAATCATTAGCTTGATTCTCCCTTCTTTTTAAAAGCAGTCAGATTCAGACTTTGGGGATATCCCAATCTAAAGTTGGTATAAACCAATCGTTCCTTTTTTTCTGTCAGAGATAAGAAGCCCTTGGTATTCCAAGTCCAGACATGAAGACCTTGCAGTGAGCTTGGACGCCACTGGCAGGCTAGAGCAGAGGCAGAGCAGAGGAGGAAAAGGCATGACAAAAGCCTAAGGGGAAAGTGAAACAGAGAAAGAGACTTTGAGAGAAGTGTTGAGAGGAAGGAATAGAAGAAGAGCGTGGATCCCTGCTTCATAGACTGCCCAGGAGCAGCTAGCCTCAGGTCTCATGTTGGCAGCCATAAACAACACTGGGAAGTTGGGCCCAAGGTAATGTGCAGAAAGAGGAATTTCTTCTCACCTGAGTTCACCTTGTTACATCAGATTCTGTAGCCAAAAAGTAGCTGTCTTTTTTTTTAAGAAGTAGATTCTTCTGACTTACAGTATTGCTCTGAACCCATCTTTTTTTAAAGAAGTGATCTTAGGCCTGAGGATTTTTATTTCATTAGTGCTATTTGACACACTTCGTGGCAGGCTAGCAATTGAGACGCCAACAGAAGGATGAGGTGGTACCTTCAGTTCACCTTAGAAATCCTATATTGCCTCCTTAATCCCTGTTCATCCCTCTGCAGATATTTGCAGATCGCACATAAAGGATACGGAGTTAGACGTAAAATAGCTGCAACCTGGGTGTAATTGAAGGCATAGAACCTACTGGTAGCCTAACACTATAGTATGTGCCATTCAAAAACTGCCTGAGAGGTAGCAGAAGTGAAAGTAAGTTTCCGGGCTGTTTTCCAGTCTTACTTCAACTTTATTGGAAAGTCGGAAATTGATTTTAGAAAGGAAGTTTAATACCTGACAATTCAACTATTTTCAGGGCTCTTATTCCCCCTTAGCCACTATCCCTTGAATCTCTTGTGTGTGTGTGGCAGTCATTTTATTGATGAGCTTTCTTTTACTTGAAAGGCAGTCTGAATTTTACTTGTTGCTTTTCTACTGGCCAGCAGCTTAAACCTGGGACTGTGCTTATTTTATGGGCCTTGAAGATTGTATAGTCTAAACAATTTGAGTTTTAGATTCCAGTTTTGAACGTAGTGTCTGGAATGATAGACTTAAATAATACATGAATTTATAATATTGTTTGGATATCTTTACTGATCTTTCATTAAAAACAACCTAATGGCAGACTTAGGACATCGCTCACACTGTATACTAGACCTCACTTGCCCAGTTTACTGAAGCAATTACAGTTGTTTTTCATATAAAATACTCTACATTGATAAAAAGTTTTTAGCTCTTGTCTCTACTTCTCTTGGTCAATATTAGAATCGTAAACTCAGATATGAATTTGTTTAAGAATCAGTAACCAAGATGAAAATGTAACTTGAAATTTAAACTCCTGGAGAGATATATCAAACAAGCATCACAAGGAAGACTAGATTAGCTCTCCTTTAAGATTTATTCCAAAATTTTGTGATTGCATGAGATGATTATCTGTTTTGTGTATCCTGCCGTATAGTTACCCTCTAGTCTCCAGTTTGGAGCGAATTCACAGGTATTGTTAAATTACGTGTAGAGGAGTCAAACACATCACTCTTAACGTTGTTCCTAACATATCTGTTACTAAATTTTGAAAGATTTGGATTTGAGTTTTGTATTAGCGTTTTAGCTTAATATTATAAAAATAAGTTTTTTTAGCCTTTTATAATGTGGCTGAACCTGGCGACAATACAATTAGTGAACGAACATTCGCTATTAAATAACTTCAATTTTTTGTTGACATTTTTGTACTTGTACCTGCATCTTTGGTCAACAAACAAATGCTACAAGTTTTGGGAGAATCAAGAAAGTGCTACATTCATGAAATAATACAAAGTAGTTAAAGTTCATGCAACCTTCCATCCATTGATGTGAAGTTCTGAGAAAGTTTAAATTCTCAACTTGGATTTAAATATGTAGCTATGGCTTGTGCATATCTAACAATTTCTAGTCTCTTTATTTGAAATAAATGTAGCCTCTTCCTCATCAGCATCATTGTTTGTTTCAAGCAGTACTGTCCTCCTATGTTTTTGGATAGTCTCACCTCACCCTTAACCGCAAGCAGTACGTCTGTCACCACCACCAGCCCCCATGAAAGCAGTACTCATGTTAGTTCATCCAGCAGCAGGAGTGAGACAGGGGTCATAACCAGCAGTGGAAGTAGCATTCCTGACATCATCTCATTGGACTAAAGGACTCACTCGATTCTAGGAATCATTCATGAAAACTGCTCTGTCTTGGATCTCTGGTCCGTGGAAGCTATATATATATATATTTTTTGTAACAATTGCTTTGATATTTATTGAACTGTCAAATGGATTCTTTTGCTTTCTGAGAAATGAACACAGATGACTGCAGCAAGAACCAAGTGACATGCGAGGATTTTTCTTATTCAAGCTGTACTCTGTGCATCAGATATATTCAGCCATAACTGTTATCTTCTTGAGAAATGGATTTCAATTTCATGTTCCTGAATGGATTCTACCAATCAGTTTTTTTTTTGTTGTAATAAACAGCAATAAAATTATGTAAATATTCAAGTAAACTTTTTTCTAATGAAAAAGATGTAACAAATGATTCTAAAATGACAGCAACTTCTCTTAAGCTGATGTGAAGGAAAAATTCATGGAAAGAAGTTATGTTTGCTGATGAGTTCTTTCCACGGAGATTTGTTCTATTTCATCGACGTAATGAAGTCTTCATAAGTGGCCAAAACTTGGGTTGTTCTTCTTCCTGCAGTTCTACTTTTCTTCCTGATCCCATCAGAGAAAAATGGCTTTCGTGTTAACATTTTTCCCTGGTTGTCATTTATCCTTTGACATTGTTTGCTAATGAATGTGGAGTTAAGTTCTGGGATTTGGCTGCTGTGTGTTGGTGATTGTGTTGAAGAACACTATGCAGATTCTACCCTGACTATGTTATTTTTGGTAATTGTATATTCTCACTCTAGAGATTTCTATAGCTTGGGCTTGCCTTCTCAAAAAGGTTCTATGCAGCCATCAAGTGGAATGTTTTTGGTATGTTCTGGCTGGAATATTCATTAGAATTTTGTTGGTGCTGTCCAGAAATAACGAGAGCTTGGAGGCAGTGGAAGAACAGATTTAGGCGAGATGGAAATAACAAAAGTTCAGTTTCTTCCTAACAGCTATTTTGCTTATTTATTTTAGAGAATAAATTTGAGTCTTTGTTGAAAAAGACTCAAATTACTTTAAGTCTTTTCGGGTCTTAGTAACCTGACAGAGTGTTAGGTCTTGGCCATACTTCCCACCAATGTAATTTCAGTCTCAGAACAAGGATTTTCAAAATTGAAAAGCAAACAGTAGGAAGGGATAGGGAAAGCATCAGACTTTCCACTTTTTTAAAGGAAATCTTCCCCCCGACACCATGAAAAAAATAGAGTTAACAGTGTTAAGTAAGAAAGTGTGGAGGAGGATGGACTTAAAACCCACTTTGAAACCTATTCTCCTATAGTTTGACTTTAAATCCTTTAGGAAACTGAGTTATTTCCTTAGATTTCATCCAAATTTTACATATTGCTGCATTTGGCCTCCTGTTCAAGGAGTTAGTATGTTTCCAGTGTTTAGCTTGCTCTACTTAAGATGTATCCACCTTAAAAAATAAACTGACTGATTGATTTTTCAAACTGAAGTGCCGGTACTAGGACTCTGCCAGATGCAGCTAGAATAGGGCCGTGCTACTAGCATCGGTGCACTGCCATGGGACTGAGTAGTTGCTGCTTGTTTTTGTTTTTTGGGGTTTTTTTTTTTTTTTTTTTTGTTTTTTTTTTTTTGACACCATCTCATGTTTTCCTGATCTCTGCCCTCCTTTTGAACTGATTCAATTTCATGTGATTTTTCATCCATTCTTTGACTTATCATCCCTTTAATGTATTGCCCTTTTTGGAGAGCTGTTTATCATTAAAGATGTGGAACACAAACCTTGCCGTAGCTGCACCATAGTTGCCAGTTTTACCTTCTTAGCCATTAGATTTCCAAATCATGTTACAGTTTTTGGTCCAATTATAGAGTTTCTTTTTAGTAAAATTTTATGTTGCTGCTCTAAATACACATGCAATTTGTGTTAACTCTGTAATCAGAAAAAGTAACCTGATTTGTGTGATATAATTTGTTAATAAAGAAATGTTGTATATTTGTTATCACTTTGTTACCCATTAGATTCTCAGATACCCCTCTTCCAACAAAGTTTTATAAGGTAAATGAAAATATTGATAGAAATTAGTTTATTTACTTGGAGCTTATAACTGTTACCTCTGTGCTTTTATAGTACTTTTCTTTCTCACTATTGTGTGTGAACAGTTTTAGTGTTCGTTTTTGTGCTTTACATTGAAATTACATGTACTTTTTAAATTTATCTCATACAGGCAACTAGCGTTTTAAAAAATTCACTTTTAAGTTCATAATCCTTAAGGTTGGGGCTTACTTTGTGTCTTTGAAGGTGAGTGATTTTCTTTATGCCTTTAGCCTTATGACAACAGCATGATTATTAAGCCATTTCCTTTCTTTTAGTACAAATGACTAGAAGTGTTTTTACCAAGAATCTGATTTAGTGATTTATGTTGCTAACTCAAATTCCTCCTTACCTAAGTTCAATACAGCTTCAGACGAGGTCATCTTAGCTGTTACTTAGATGTCAGTCAGCCAACCAGTGATTTCATGGAACTTGTTTAAGGAAAGGAATTGGAGCTACTCGTCTTATGCTTAGCCACTTAACCAATGTATTTTTACCTTTATTCACACTTAAATATTAAGGGCTTTGTTGTTTTGGTAACTCCTGACAATGTAATTGGTGCTGAATACAGATTCACGCCTAAGGTCTGTTTATATTCACTACTGCCCTTAGTTAGCCCCTTGGGTATTTCATTTCCATTTCTGCCCAGAAGGACAGATGTCTTGACATGTTACAAAATAATTATAAAGGCCAAATGAAACATAGAGGTAAGTTTAGATATGTGGCATTTATCTGAAAATGTGTTTCAGAAAACTGGAATGAAAACCATGATTAAGCGAGAGACTGAGTACAAATAAGTTGATCCACAACTCCGTGGAAAACCAAGTTTCCCTAGGGTAGACTTAATTTGAAGAAAGGCAAACTTGGATTTTAGGTGAAGTGGTGGTTTAACAGACTATTCTGACTTTAAAATTCAAACCTTTCAGACTTTTGCTTTGGCCAGTCCTGGACATTTGTCATTTCGTAATCAGGTTGTCTGTTTTTCTTCAATAAAGTATCCATTAGTTACCTTTTGTCTTGATTTTATATGAAGCATTAGTTTAATTCTCAGGTATGCCTTTCTTTTCCCTCTAGTCTCCAATTGGTTGACAGCACTTAGCTGTCTCTGTCTGTGTGTACTTATACAGGAACACTTCCCCTGTATTTTTCATCTTGGAACATACAGAGCAGCGTGCCATTTCAACCTGGGTCTGACATACTCTTGTGGCCCTGGACCCATGTGTGCGGGAGCTTGGAGTTGTCGTTTGGATTGGTGATTATTGTTAATTCAATCTGATTCACATCAATACTGTGAAACTTGTGGAAAAGGCTTTTAGGAATTTCTTTGCCTTTTTAAAGAGTCTGATGCTCCTGTCAAATAAATGAATGGTTTGTAAGTCCCCTTTGTTGCTGTCAGGAACCATACCCCAATTCCTGGCACACACAAATAAAACTATGTAAGAAATGCCCATTCTTCTTTAAAGTTTGCTTGATTCAGTGTTGTTTTTTTTCCCTGTTAATGTCAGAAACATATGCTTATTGTGGGAAAATTATACAATACAGAAAAGGAAAAGTATTAATTACCTGTAATTCTAATACCCAGGAGGGAAAAAGCACTGTCCTGTTCTTTTCATATTTCTAGTGGTCTCTCTGCCACTGGTGCATGTTTTTACATCGCTTCATTCATTCACAATATAATTCATATCTTTGTTTTTTCCCCCCCAATCTACAGGTGTTATTCCATGTCATTAAAAATTATGTCAATCTTTATTAATTGCATGGCATTCCATTGTATGGACGTGCCATGATTTGTTACCTCCTTTCTTCACTGGGCGTTTTAGATTGCTTCTCATAATATTACAAGTGAATGTCTTTGTGCATAAATTAGTCCTTAGGATAAATTCTTAAAGTGGAGTTTCTAGGTCAAGTATGAACACTTACAGTTCTTGATTCACCCCACATTTCCCAAGTGATTTGTTAATTTATATTCCAGCCATTTGGTCTGAGAAGAACTGCCTAATATTTTCCAAGAAAAGGCACCGATGATCTCTATGCAGACATCTGCACAAAGACCCCCTTCTGTCCCTGATGAGCTGGGCTAACTGATTTGCTGGTAGTCGGCAGAGATTCCTGGATTGTCTCAGGAACGTATTTAAGCTGTTTCTGAAACACCTGTATATGGCTATCCGAATGATTTTTCACATAGATTTACTTGCTCTGTGAAATAGCCTGATGTCAGACTACATCTTCCATTGTTAGAAAAATCTTTAAAACCATTTGTGCCTAGAACCAGCCCTTAGTAGCCAGCTGTCTTTTTTCCTCTTCCTGTAGGCTCCAATTTGACATTTCTGAGCTTCCCAAAGCCAGTAGGATCTCCCGAGCCAAAGACAGTCCAATCCAAAGTGGAAAAGTGGTAAGGCTGAATAAAACAAAAGAAGGGCCAACCTTTGCTTGTTTCACCTGGTGGTATTTCATGTTTGCAGTTGGATCATGGTGTTCTAAGCGTGGTTGTGGGGAAAGAAAAACATTGCATTCATGTGTAAAATGTATTTCCTTGATTGACATACCATAGTCATTTTCCAAACCGCTTTTTTAATTTCAGAATGGCTTTTAAAATTTATTTTGTGTTCTCCGAGCTTCACTCTTAAGAGTGTTGTGTTATAAAATAGGATATACCTCTTACTTTGGCCTTCAGTCTATTCAGCAAATATTTGCTATCTTGTAAGTGTGTGTGGTATAGAATAGTATGAAAGATGTGATTTCAGACTACAAAGGGCTTAAATCAAAATTTCAAAATCAAGACTTCTTACCTCCTAAGCAACACTGGGCTAATCACATAAATTTCCCATTCCTTACAACAGCCCTTTGAAAGAAAGTGGTATTGTCCCTATTTTACAAGTGAAAAAACTGGTTTAGATAAGTCTTGCAATGGACTTGGGAATCTGAAATAGACTACCTCAAAATCCCTCCAGTTAAATAAAAGGCGACACTAATTGACTAGGCTATTTAAGAGACTGATAGGGAATCTAAAAATTATGAGAACTGATTTCAGAGAGCCACGGGAATAAGGAAGAGGGATAGTGAGCCATTTCAAAGGAAGTTTCAAGATTTAGTGTCTGATACAGGAGTCAGTGCTGAGGGCATTTCCCAAACCTAGGTAACCAGGATAATGGTGCTACTTAAAGGGACAGGAGTCAGAATGGAGATTAGTTGGGGAAACTGGTGAGTAGTGAGTTAAGTGTGAGATTTCAGAAATGAAGTGGCTTTTTTGCAGTTTTTTTTAAGGAGTGCAGACTTAACCTTGTCCATTATTTTCACCATCACTTCTCTGTTCTGTACACATTCAAGTCCCACTTGCCCATCCACCCAGCCCTTCTGCTCCCTAAACCATGCTTGCTTGCATCTCAGCCTTTGTTTCCCTCGTCACTGCCTTGACTGAAGTTGTGCCGTTCCCTTCGGTTCTCATGGGTGTGGGCTGTGTTCTTGTTCCATGTATCTCAAGAGTTGCTGCCTTCCTCTGGTCATTTCTAAATAATTTGTCCCCAGGCCTCTGACAAACATCTGTCCCACTGCTGCACATGCCAAGAGATTATGCTCTCAGCTACTTCTGCTCCTGTCAAGTAACTGATCACTTCTTTTGATTTGCTGAAGGCTTCACTTCCTGACTCTGTGTCCCCTGCCATCTTGAATTCCATTGACCTGCATCTCTTCTGTGCTCTTACAGGTTATCCACCCAGCTGCCAAGCATGCGTGTGAAATTATGGTTACTGCAACATTTTCTTCCTCTAGAACTCCCTACCACTGCATAATTCCTTCTGTTTTTCTCTGTACTTCGTGCCCAGCATAGACAGCTTTGCACATACGCTCAGACCCCTTTTCTAAGTCACCTGTCAGTCCTCTAGCATCACATGGTTCTTTTGTCCATCTTCATCAGTTATCACAGATACGACCACTCCTTGTCAGACCACTCCCTTCTCAGCAAAGGACCTTCCTGATTGAACCAGAAGACAGTACATAAGCTTTTCTCTGCTGTGCTGCCTGCATCCTTGCCTCGTTATTACAGCCTGGGAGGACCAGGTAGACCTGAGGGCCAGTTCAGCCATATGGGCTTTTGACTCCTGCCATTCTCAGGGCCTTCTCCATCAGACTTTCTCGCTTCCCTTCATGCTTTTCACCTCTCTGCTGGGTTTCTTTTTTCTTTTTTTGGCTTATAGTTTCACATATCAAATATTTGAGATCCGTTAGGGGCCCAGCATTGTCAGACACTCAGAACATGAGCTAGATAGGTGTCTACCTTCACCAAAGTTGTATTTTAGCAGAATATAGAGATTTGTGAAATGGGGCAGTTAGAATACAGTGGTAAAAAGCAAGAGTTCAGGGTGCTACAGGTGTTTGTGCACCGGCAACTGATTCCATGGAAGTAACATGCAAGTAGAAACGTTGATTGGAAGTTTTTCAAGTGGAGGATTGAAAACATTCAGAATGGCTGGAAATGTACTAGGAATATTAAGGGAAGTATGTAAGAAGTCACGTAAAGCAGTGAGAGGCACTGAAGAGTTTCCATGATCATTAATAGTAAAGCGCATTGTTGGGTGTGGTGCGATTGTCTCCATTTTGCAAGTGTGGAAACAGATTCTGAGAGGGTAAGTGACTTGCCTGAGGTCATATAACTTGTAAGTGGGGAGCCAGGCTTTCAGCCACCTTTCAAACACCTCAGCAGGGTCTATCATAGTCATTCTACCTAACAATAGGCGTTCCTTAACTGTTACTATCACATCACTGTTTATATCCTATGTGGCACTAATCACAGCCTGTTTATGTGTTGGTTCACTGTGTATTGTCTGTTTTCCCTACTAGATTGTAAGCTCCGTGAGGGCAGGGGTGATAATCTCATTTCACTTGTACCCCAGAGCCTAACATGGTGTGTGGTGCATAGTCAGTGCTCAATAAATATTTGTGAATGAAGAAATGGTGCATAATTTTGTATTTGACTCATACTGACAGTGGAATCATATAATATCCGAGCAGCAGGCAGTTACCAAGAGGAAAACAAGGTGTATCTTTAAGGCAGATGGCAGAGATGAAAGGCTAGGGAGATTCAGCACACGGACCTAGCCTCCAAAGTTGCACAGGGACAAGGGCTGGGAATGGGATTGGAAGAGCAATGCATCGGGCAAGTAGGTACTATAATAAACCTGAACACTTAAGTTACCCCTTAGAGACCCAGCCTGCTATATATAGGTAAGGATCAGGAAAATTCCACATAGAATCTCCATATTGATGAGCACCTCCTCTGAGTCAGGTGCAACACATCAAGTTATACTGTACAGCTGTAAACAGCTGTTAACCTGTTGCCTCTGGAAGTCATGCCCACATGCCATTAGATGAACTACAAGCTTCTCCAACAACATATGGGTAGTACTAAAGCCATTTAAGTGCAGGAGCCCATCCACAGGAGACAAGTGAGAAAAGAGCCAGAAAAGGAACAAAAGGAGATTGGGAAGAGGCAGCTAAGAGAGGAGTGGTATCACAGGCACAAGTATTTCCAGAAGACAGTGGTCAGTGAAAGTGAAAGTTCCTGGTATAAATACAAGGTTGCTTTTAAAGAATTTACTTTAAGAAACAACATGTTTAATTGAATCTAGATACTTAATTGATTATAAGACATTTATATAAAAAATTAGATTGATGACAATTGCTTTCAGTTACATTAATTGTAAGAGGTAGTAGCCCATTAAAATGGGGAGGTGCAAATATGCAAATAGAATTTAAGGATCACAGCAATGTTTGTCTTCCTTTGGTTTTCTCAGTCTGACCATATCTAGTAATTTCATCAAGAACAATTTCAGTGGGATGAGAACTGCAAAGGAGAGAAATAGAGTGGGCAATTGGACAACCCAAAAATTGCCTGTGATAAAGGGCGAGGCTGTAGCAATAAACTGGTTGAGGGAATTTTTAATTGGGAGAAACTTGAGTATCATGTTTACATGCTAATTGGCTAGAGGTATGGAATCCCTAGAGGGTTTTTTGACAGCACAATTATTTTTCTGTCTTCATGAACTTTTCTTCTTGGAAATTAAATGTAGGTGTAACTACATTTATTGGTTAGCTGCCTTTCCCTACCCTGTTGACCCACATTCCTTGGCATGCTCAGCCAGTCCTCCTAGAATCTTAAATTCTAAGGCTAGGATTTTTTTTTTTGTTACTTTTTAGGTGTCCAGTTTTAACTTTCAACCTAACTATGAATTGAGTTTCTTGTAGACTGCATATTCTGGTTTTGGTAACATCTTTATTGAGATACAATGCATATATTGTTTTAGTTTGCTAGTGCTGTTATAAACAAATTCCACAAATGGAATGACTTAAACAAGAGAATGTGTTTTCTCATGATCGGGAGGGGCTACAAGTCTGAAATCAAGGGGTCAGCAAGGTTGGTTCCTTTTAAGTGTCCTGAGGGGTCTGTTCCAGGCCTGTCTTGGATTTGCAGATGGCAGTCTTTGCCCTGTGTCTGTTTACACTGTCTTCCCTCTATCCATCCAAATTTCTCCTTTTTATAATAACACAAATCATTCTGAATTAAGATCCACTTTAATGATCTCATCTTAACTGGATTGCCTCTGTAAGGACCGTCTCTCCAAATAAGGCTACATTCTGTGGCACTCTAGGTTTAGGACACCAACATTATCTTTACGTGTGGGGACACAATTCAACCCTTAGCATATAACATACAATTCACTCATTCAGCATGTGCAATTCGTTGATTTCTAGTATAGTTATAGAGCTGTGCAGCCATAACCGCATCAATTTTTCAACATTATCCTCATCCCAAAAAGAAACTCCATAGCAATCAACCGATCCTTAATTTCCTGATCCACCACATAGGCAACTACTAATACACTTTTATTTTGCCTCTTGTGGACATTTTATATAAACTCAGTCATATAGTTATGTGGTCTTTTGTTTATTTCACTTAGCATGTTTTCAAGAATTACCTATATTATAGTATATATCAATACTTCGTTCCTTTTTAACAGCCAAATAATATTCCATTTATGGATATATGATACTTGATCCACCAGTTGATAGACATTTGGGTTCTTTCCACTGTAGCATTTATGAATAATACACCTATAAACATTCACATGCAAGTATAGCATACACATGTTTTCATTCTTTTTAGGTAGATACCTAACAGTGGAACTGTTGGGCCATGTGGTGATTCCTTGATTAACATTTACCCTATAGCACTACCCACCCACTGCCCCCCGGCCCATTTGCCTAGTCTCTCCCTCATTGTCATCATCCTCTACCTAAGTGGTACATTCATTACAACTGATAAGCCTACATCACCACGTCATAACCATCTAATACGTAGTTTACAGTAGTGTTCACTCTTGGTACTGCACATTATATAGGTTCGGACATACATATACAATGTTCCTACCTGTTGTTTATTCCTGCCTCACCTCACATCCCCAGCAACCACTCATCTTTTTACAATATTTTTTTGGCTTTTCCAGAATGTGGTATAGTTAGAATCTCATAGTGTGTAGTTTATTTTCAGATTACTTTCCTTATTTAATAAGTATTTAAGTATGCTAAGTGCATGTTTAGTTTTAAAAGAAATTGCCAATCTGCTTTCCAGAAAAGCAGTATCATTTTGCATTCCCACCAGCAGTGAATTTGAGTTCCTGTTACTCCACATCCTTGTCAGCATTTGGTATTAGTGTGTTGGATTTTAGCCTATTCTAATAGATGTGTAAAATAGTATCTCATTGTTTTTAATTTGCAGTTCCCTGATGATGTATGATGTTCATTCCATATGCTTTTATGACATCTGTATTTTTTTTTTTTTGGTGAGATGTTTGATCAGATATTTTGCCCATTTTTAATTGGTTTGTTCGTTTTCTTCTTACTGAGTTTCAGGAGTTTACTGTATATTTTCGAAACCAGACCTTGAGCAGATAAGTATTTTGAAAATACTTTCTCCCAGCCTGTGACTTGTCTTCTCATTCTGTTGTCGGTGCTTTTGGCAGAAGGGTTTTTAATTTTAGTGACGTCCAGCTTAGCAGCTTTTTCATTCACGGATTATACTTTTGGTGTCGTATCCAGAAAGTCATTGCGTAAGCCGCTGTTGTCTAGATTTCCCCTGTGTTATCTTCTGGGAGTTTTATACTTTTGTGTTTTACATTTAGGTTATGATACATCTTGAGTTAATTTTTGTTAAAACGTGTAAGGCTGTGTCTATATTCTTTTTCTTCCCAGTTATTCTAGCATCATCTGTTGTAAAGATTATCCTTCCCCATTGAATTGCCTTTGCTCCTTTGCCAAAGATTAATTGATTTTGTGTGGGGTCTACATCGGGCTCTCAGTCCACTAATCTATTTGTTTATTCTTTTGCCAATACCACACTATTTAGATTACTGTGGATTTTTATTAGGTCTTAAATTGGGTAGTGTCAGTTACTTCTTTTTCTCCTTCAACATCATGTTGTCTATTCTGGGTGTTTTGCCTTTCTATATAAACTTAGAATCACTGTTGTTAGTCACAGAATAACTTGCTGGGGTTTTGATTGTGATTCTGTTGAATCTGCCCATCAAATTTTAAAGAACTGACATCTTAATATCAAGTATTCTCATCCATGCAAATAGAGTTCTATCCATTTATTTATCTTCTTTGATTTCTTTCATCAGAGTTTTATAGTTTTTCTCATAGTCTCATACATGATTTGTTAGAATATGCCTAGGTAATTTTTTTCTTTTGGTGCTAATTTTTTTTATTATTTCACAATCCAGTTGTTTATTGCTGGCATATAAGAAAGCAGTTGACTTTGTTTGTATATTAACCTTGTATCCTGCAACTTTCTTACAATCACTACATAGTTCCAGGAGGGTGTTGGTTTCTTTTTTGTTTTGTTCCATTCTTTTGGCTTTTTTAATATAAACAACATTGTCATCTGCAAACAGATGGTTTTATTTTTTCCTTCCCAGTTTGTATACCTTTTGTGGTCTTACCGCACTAGCTTTTGCAGAATAGTTTTTAATTTTACTGCGGTCCAATGATCTCGAGTAGGAGTGGAAAGAGGTGACATCCTGGTCTTAGCTCTATCTATTCCTACTTTATTGACCTGTTTTGTCTTTAGTGAGTGATGGATTTGGTCAAATACTTCTGAAGGTAGATGTAGGCAATGAGGGATATAAAGCATATCAACTAAATACCAAAAGGCACCAAATAGAAATTGTAGAAATGAAAATATAATAATTAAAATGGAAAACCATGTGGACAGGTTTAACTGGAGATGAGACACCACTCTGAAAACTAATGAACTATATAAATGCTTTGCAAACTTTGATGTGCATGCAGATTACCTGGGGAATGATGTTAAAAGGCAGATTCTGATTTAGGTTTCCCCTTCTGTCTAAAAGTAGAACATTTGGTCTGATTTGCTAGGTTATTTTTTGGGTCTAGGAATGCTACTACCATAAATTTATATGGAAAACAATTTGGATAGCGGGAGAAACCTTTTCTGCAAGTGTTAGGATGGGGCTTGATAGTCTAAGGAACTCAGAGGTGAGAAAGATCCTCACTGGAGTCCCAGAAGAAAAGAAGAGAAAGAATAGAAAAGGAAAAATATTCAAAACTATTGTGAGGAATTTCCAGATACCATTCCACACATTCAGAAAAGGAATAAATTCTAAACAGAGTAATGAAGTGTATACCTTGACATTTCAGAGTGAGATTTCAGAACACTAACAATAAACAAAAATTATTAAAAATCAAAGAGAAAATAGATGTCTCTAATGGGTTGACAATTAAACTAACAGATTATTTCTCATCAGCAACAATGCAAGCTAAAAAAAAGGATAGTTCAGTGTATCTTGGGAGAAAAATAATCAAGAACTCAGTGAAAATCTTTGAAGTGTGAGACTGAAAATAAGTTTCATTTAAACAAAAGTAGTTCTTGCCACAAACAGAACAGCCCCTCACTTAAAGAAGATACAAGTCAGATAAGCTAGAAGGAAGAAATCCTACATGGAAGAACTTAGATATGAGGTAGAAATGGAGTGAATGGCTGTTCAAAACCAGGATTTTCCTGTGCTTCCTGAGGGGGAGACAGGTATGGAGAAAGAGACTGATGTCAATCTCAGACTGAAGCTGGGCAGCAAGGATGCTGCTTTGTGCATGAAACTTGCTCACCTAGGAATACCCAGGAGAGACCTGCAACAACTTTGTTTTTAGGCTTTTTTTTTTTTTTAATGATTTTATTTATGCATACAAGAACTGGGGTACAAGCCAGAGGCGTGGAAGGGTGAGAGAATTCACCAGAGACAGAGCGGGGAGCAAAACAGGCAGACTGACAGAAAACACTGCTGAGGGGAGCAGCGGGCAAGACAGGAGAGGTCTGCCGTGCCATGTGCGTATCTCCCTGGCCAGCCGGGAATCGAACCAATGGTGCAGAGGCTGCAGAGAGCTTCGCAGTGCTGTTCTCAACCCGCTGCACCACCTGGGGGGCTCCTAAGCAGTAAAGCTTTTAGAGAAAACATGGAGGAGGGAGATCAAGGTGAAATCCACACTTTTAACAAAGGCCTCACCCTGCTCCCCAGAACAGTTTGCATGGAACAGCTGCTAATCTTGAGTAGCCCGAGAGTTTTAGAGCCTTGTCAAATTTACCCTGCTGTCCCCAACCTGAAGGTCCTGATGATAATAATGGGTAGCATCTCCATAGCACTGTAGCTTAAAAGCACTTGTACTTAATGTTATTTTACTTAATCATGCACCATCAAAAAATGACTTACCAAGATTTATGGAGAGAAAGATACTTTACAATTTAAAGAGGCCATTTTCAACCTTAGCTGCACATTTCAAATGCCCAAAGAGTTAAAGTTCATGATTCCCAAGCCACACTCCAGGTCCACTAGAAGTCAGGAGCCAGGAGCCTGGCATTTGGAGAGCTGCTTTCTGCTTTGATGTGTACCTGCGCCTTGGCCTGGGTGAGGGCTGGAAATGGCCTCTGGCCTATGAAGAGCTAGCAATTATCTGTTCAGAATTATTTATATTTCTATCTGTTAGTGACAATGAGGTTTAAAGGAGGCTATTTTAAAGTAACAGCTTCTCAGTAGCAATGAGCCCACTGGTGGCCAGATCTGGTTTTCAAAACCCATCCCTCCATGGATGGAACTGCAGGGGGTTATGCTAAGAGAAATACATCATAAAAGAAAGACAGAAGATTTTACTCATGTGAAATATAGAGAAACAAAACAAAGGAACAGATAACCTAAACCCAAACAAACCCTGGAAATCTGACTGTAAATTTGAGGCAACCAGAGTGGGAGGTGGTGAGACGGGAACAAATGGGTTAGCAGACTCCATGGTCTCTGGCAGAGGATTATGGTGCTCTGCTGGGTAACATGCATCTGAAGGGGTGTGAGCCTATGCCCTCAATTTATTTGCAATGTTGTATTTTTACCTCAATAAAAATAATAAGAAAAAAGATGTGAATTTGACTATGGTAGATAGAGGGATAGATATGTTATGAAATAAGAATAGAAAAATATTAATAATAGAATCAGGTGTAGTTCTATAAAATTCTTTCAACTTTTCTATATGTTTGAAATTTTTTATGACAAAATCTTGAAAATAAAATTTTTGAACCTGTTCCTAGGTTGTATTCACTATTCTGGGAACATACACATGTAAAACAAGAAAGTGCAGAAAAATATGATTAGGGTAAAAAAATAATAAAACCATTCTCTAGTGAAAAGAACCAGGGTTCTGGGTTTCCTAGGGCTGGAACAGGGCATACATATGAGGAACTAGAGCCTTTTGCAGTGCCAGGAAGCAAATGCTGAGAAGAACCAACCAAGCAAGCAAAATCTAAAATTGGCAGCTCTTCTGCTTGCCTGTGATTATGCAGTTGTTTCTCTTTTTCTTTCCCCTTTTCCTAATAAACCTGTCCCTTTAAAATGTAAAAAACAAAACAAAAAATCACTTATGTCAAAGCAACACAAGAAATTGATAGAGCTCCCAAATGCCCAACTCTGGAACAATTTGTGCAATAAAATATAGTAGTATTTGACTGTAACTGAAAATATGTAATATCCATGAGTCCATACTGTTAAAAAGATATGATTGAATATCTAAATAAATGGAGAACAGATGGTCTGTGTAGCAGAATCCACATAATATTTGTGGGTACACTACTAGAGAAGATGAAGTGTAACTCCATTTCTTCCATGTGACTGGGAATAGAGATTCTTTCCAAAGGGTATAGAATAGAGAGGGGGAAAGGTAATATAGTGGAGAAGCTTGACAAACACTACTTCAGCAGGTGGTCAAGGTCAAAATCAACAGTGATGAGTCATTGTTGACAGGATGGACCTTGGTATAGTTTGATTTGATGACAGTGACACTTTATCTCTGTGTTCTTGCCAAAAACCCATAACCCCAATCTAATCATTGAAAAACATTGGATGAGTCCAATTGAGGGGCATTCTACAAAATATTTGAGCAGTATTCCTCAAAGCTATCAAGGTCATCTCAACAAGGAAAGCCTGACAAAGTGTCACAGCTGACATATGACGACAATATATAATGCAGTATCTTGAATGGGACTCTGGAAAAGAAAAAGACCTTGTATTCTAGTGAATAACAATTTATCAATATTGTTCAGTTTATGAGCCTTTCTAATGTAAGCTGTTGACAGTCAGGGAAGCAGAATGTGGGGTATATAGGCACTCTGTATTATCTTCATTTTTCTTTAAAACTTTTCTAAAAAATAGTTTATTTTTAATATGCCATTTATAATAAAATTAAAAATATAAAATACTTAGGATGAAATTTAATGACGTTGTGGAAGGCCTCTATGCTGAAAATGATGAAACATTGCTGAGAGGAGCTGAATAAGATGTGAATAAATGGAGAAGTGTTCTATATCCATACACTGAAAGATTTAATAAAATCAGATGTCATATTAAGATGACATTCCAATAATAATCCTATCAGGAGTTTCATAGAAATTGATAAGCTGATTCTAAAGTGTGTGTGAATGGCAAAAGGACCCTAGAATAAGCAAAATAATTGTGAGGACTGAAGTTGAAGGATTTATACGGTCAGGTTTCAAGACATATTATTAAGTTATAATAGATAGCATTAGCATATGGATAATTAAACAGATTAATGGAACAGCATATCAACTCCAGAATTAGACTTGTACATGTGAATAATTTGATTTTCAGTAAAAGCTCTTATGCACTTCATAGGGGAAAGAACTGTTTTCAATAAATGGTTTTGAAACAATTCAGTGTCCTTATGGAATAGAACCTCTAGCTCACACCATACACAAATATTAATTTGAGATGGATCATAAATCTAAACACTAAAGGCAGTCTGTAAAACTTCTAGGGTGAAAAAGAGAAAAATGTCTTTCCAAGCTGGGGGCAGAAGAGTAATTCCTAAAACACCAAAATTCCTAATCATAAAAGGAAAAAATGGATAGCTTTGACTTCATCAAAATTAAAAATTTCTACTAAGCAAATGACAGTGTTAAGAAATGAAGGCATCAATCACATTCCGGAGGAAAATATTCACAAGCCCACAGATACCTGACAAAGAGTATGTTTTCAGACAGCCACTGATGGGCGGTGAGGAGACCAGCCCAGAGTCTATTACATTAGACCAGGCATGACATAAATGGACCGCTAACTATGACATTTGCAAACCTACTTTGCAAGGGATGGAGAGGAGAGAGATTTAGGAGGTAGGACTGAACTTTGGAGAGGCTCCGGGTAGGGACCCAGCATGACAAAGGCCTTCACACGCCCTTATTTTATAGGTGAGGAATCTGAGAACAGAGAGGGAAGCACCTTGCCCACGGTCACACAGCATGCTGACAGCATATAATGACCCAGAACCGAGGTCTTACCTCGTGTCCAGGGTTCTTTCCATGCTAGATGGCCCATGTTCTCCCTCTTGCTCTCCTAGCTAACCTCGTCCTCAGGAAAGTTCCCAATGTTCGTTGGCCTCTGTTGTGGGATGTGTGTTCCCAGGCTCCCTCACTCAGCATCACCTCTGACTGTGGACTAAAAGGCCACGCATGGTGCTTCTGACCAGCGAAGTGTCTTTAGGGCTGGAGATGGGGACGTGGTCCCCTGAGGCATTTGTGGACACAGGCCTTAACCTGGAGCAGCTGCCTGCTTTGCAGGCTACAAGGCTGACCCTTCATGGTGATTGTTATTTTAAGTAATTCACGTTGGAGGGAGGAAGTGACTGAGGAAAATGTGAAAATGAGTAGCTATTGTGAGATGTGTGTGATAAATGAAACAGGGAACATAAAGACAGACGAAGAGGCACATCTGTTATTTTTGCTCCTTTTTATAGCAACCTCTAAGGCAGACTTTTCACACTAAGTAGGAACCCCTTAGCTGCTGAGCAGTTTCCGGACCCCAGCCTTCCTTAACCCCGATGGGAGCGGAGGAGGGTGGATGCCACTGGGGCCCCAGGACAGTGTGAGCCCTCAGCCAGCAGCCCCCACGCACCTGGGGACTGAGGCTTTGAGCCAGAGGCCTTGGAAGGGATTTGAACCAGCACTTCTGTGGTTTCCCCTCCATTTTTGAAGGAGGGCCAAAGCCAAGGGCCACCTGCACCAGAGTGTCCCTCACAGGCAGCCAGGAATGCAGAGGCACTTTTTCCCCTAAGAATATGGACACATTAAAAAAAAAAAAAAGGGAAAGACTCACAGTGATGTGACTTCAATTATATGAGGTAGGAGGAATGACAGGGATCAGGGATGGTAATCGACATTGAGTAGGAAAGACTTGGCAAGATGGGACCCATCAAAGAGCCATGGATTTGGCGATGAGAATTTCACTGCCAGAATTTTCACCTTGAAGTCCAAAGAGTGCCAGAATTCAGAGAACAAGGTGGTCAGTGGAGGCAGTGATGTCGACTGTGCTTTCCAAAATGCTGGCAGTGAAAAGGAGAGACATTAACCCGAAGGCACAGAAAGGCGGAAGGGTGGCTTATGGCCAGCAGCGAGGCTTTCACATGTTACATTGCTGTGTGGAGGCACCTGCTGAGAGACAGGGGACATGTAAGATGGAAAGGGAATAGTGGCTAGAACGAGGTAGCCTTGTAATGCAATTAAAAAAAAAAAAAAAAGAACCCTCCCCCCACCCAAGGTGGGGAGGCAGTAGCACGCCCTGTCGCATCATTTTCCCCCAGATGGTGTTCCTGACGCCCATGTGCCCGTGGCGACCAAGCACAGTGACTGGAGGGCCTGGGCTGATGGAGCTGACAGGGTCTGGTTTCTTCAGGGGCCACTGCTGTTTGTTCAGAGGTCCGTCAGCTGTTATGAGGAAGAACTAAAGGGCTGCTGGGGTGGGGGGCGCTGTCCCTGAAATAATCCTGTCAGCTCCCATCTCCCCCAGGTGCCCCTGTGAGGAAGCTTTGGCGGCTCCGGTGAAAACACATGGGGGCGGCCGAGCAGACAGACTGAGCTGCTGCTTGGTAGCGCCTGAGCGTGCACCGTTTCTCTCGACTGTGCCCTCCACGCTGCTGTGCTGGGGCCCGGATTCAGGGAGAGGGGAGCTCTGCTCCCTGGCGGGAGCTGGAGCAGCCTCAGAGGAATGAAAGGCAGGTCCTACAGATGAGAGGGAGGACAGAGGCAAGACCTGCCAGGAACAGGGTGGGAGAGTATTTTGTGGAACGTGGGCCCATTGCCCGATGGCACAGAAGCCAAAGCCCGTGCCACCAGCTTTTGAGAAAAGAGCCAGTGTAAGGTGGGGTCACCTGGAGGGAGACTGGGGTGAAGACTGTCGAATCAGTCTCCCTGGGGGTGGGCTTTGGGCAGTATTTATGGGGTTGAAGAACAAACCCAGAAGGTGCGAGCTGGTAGAGTCTGACTGGTTGCTCTCTGCTAAGTCACGGTGTAACTCGGATTTGGATCCGGAATGGCAGTAGGCAGAGCTCCCCGTGCTTCCCAATGTGGTCCTTCTAACCCCACCTCCTAGGGTTCTGTCTTCCATGGCTGTTTTCATTCAGCACCTTGAGAACAAGAAACACGTTTCTCAGCCTGTGCTCGGAAACACAACTTGTCCACTTATGAAAAATCAAGTTTCTGTTTTCCTTGCCCAAAAGGAAAACGTTGTAAGCCTGCCCTGCTGTTCTTGCAGTGACCATGGTGACCACTATGGTTTCAACTTCAGGAGAGTGATTGGGTATTGGAGTAATTGGCAGGAGGCATGTGCAAGCAAGGACAAGGGCCTTGTCCAGGAATGGGGACAGCCTGCGCAGAGGTGGGCGGGCCCTGCACTGGGAGTTAGACTTTGGTGGAAGCAAAAGGGTGGGATCTGGAACCCCATGGCCTGGTTCAGTTTCCATTTCCACCTCTGACTTAGCTGTGTCACCTCAGATGCTGCATCCTCATGCATGTGGGCAAAGTAGCTCCTACCTCATAAGACCATGGAAATGAAATGAATGTGCAAGGGAAGCGCTGAACAGCACCTAGCATCCAGCAGGCACTTGGTGCCGTCGATGCTGCCCTTTCACGGAGCGTGGTGGAGAAGGTAAACAGCATGGAACAAGATCAGGAGTGAAGATGAACAAGAGAGGCTTCCAGAAACCATAGCACCAAACTTCTCTTCCTTGGCCAAGCCACCTCTCAGGGAAGGCTCTCCTCCAGGAGGCATCCCTAGCATCTCCCCTTGGGTCATTTGCTTGTCAGTCTTATGTTCCTAATACAGAGAAAGACCTGACCCCCTTCTTAATAAATGCCTGAACATTTTGGGAAGAGGGGAGTTCTCCTCTGAACCCCTAACCACACAGGCCTATGACCTCCCAGCCTGAATGGGGTCATTGTCCAGTGTATTTGTTGGGTGAGGGCATGAATTGCCCCAGATTTGCTGACGTGGGCAGGATGGGTCCTGACTTTGACTCACTGCTCATTCTGCGAGGGGTCTTGTTTCCAACTCCAGGCTTGTCCCCTGCCTAGCTGCGGAAGCTGCCTTAGTACTGACATTCTGTCTGGTCCTGGAGGGTCCCACACGTGCCATGCTCTCTGCTCATTGGTGTCTGCTGTATTATCGGGCACCACTGGAACCCAATCTTGGGGAGGGAGTTGTTCTTATTAGCAGGTGCCATAAAGTTAGCATCTGTTTGTCTGTTTAGCAAAATTTCTGGATAGGCTGACACATGCATTGGTGTGGGTGATGGTGAATCTGGATGGCCACAGGCCGGGGGCAGGTCTGCTTACCCTCCCTGGTCTCAGGAGGTGCAGTGCCAGCTCACACACTGGCCCAGCTGTAGAGTCAGCTTCATTGTGCCACTGTTGTGACACCGGGCGAGCCCTTTGACCTGGCTGGGCCTCTGGTGTCAATCTGTGAAATGGAAATAATGAATGTTGTTTTGTGGACCTTTTCAAAGTCAAAGAATGAAAATGAAAATGCAGTGACTGTCACAGGCTACCGCACAGGGAAGGCCCGGCATGCAACGGGTACTGTGGGAAGGACAAGAAGCTGCGGGTTTGGCCTTGGGGACAGTGCTTGGGTAGGAGTCGCAGACGGCACTCTCCCGCTCAGCTGCACAAAGCTCTAGAGAGAGGGATGAGAGCCACATGCTGGTAAGTCTGACTCTGAAGCTCATGCTGTTCCCTCTGTTTAGAAGATGAAACATTCTCGGAAAGGTCTACCTCTCACCGGGTAGGTGAGAGGGCTGGGAAGAGAAGGTGGGGACAGGACAGTGTTAGGAAGGAAGGTGGAGAAAGGAAAGTGTGCTAGAGGGGCGCCTTAGGTTGAGAGGAGCACCCGTTGTGTTCTGAGGGGAGGGGTAGGTCCTGTCTTTGTTTTTCTTAATGGTCGTTACATGGATGTCTTTATGCTAATTCTTAGGGCTGTCCACCATGATTTGTGCACTTGTCTACACATATGTTATACTTTCTTAAAAGGTTAAAGAAAATAGGAATTTTATAGCAAGATCTATTGAGTCCAAATGTGTTTTTAAAGTTCATACTCACTATTAGTTATGCAGCCCTCATCTGCAGCCGTTCAAGTGACATTAAAAGTTGTGTTTAAGGATGTGAATATATCCAGATTAAATTCCCTGAGTCTGGATCAGCATACAGAGCCAAAATTCTGGGAATTGTGACCCTTCTTTCTGGCTGACTCTTTTTTTTTATAGAGGCATGCTTTATTTATTTATTTATTTATTTGTTCGTTTTGTTTATACAAGCACTGGGTACAGTTAGAAGTGTGGGAGGGTGAGAGAATTCACCAGAACCAGAGCGGGGAGCAGAGCAGGCAGAAGGACCGAAGTACACTGCTGAGGGGAGCAGCAGGCGGCAGGAGAGGTCTGCGTGCCATGCGGGACCCTCCTCCAGTGGCCGGGGAGCAGCCAGGGATCGAACCGGCGCCGCAGAGGCTGCGGGCAGCTTCGCAACCCAGCGCTCAACTGCTGCGCCACCGGGGAGGCCCGGCTGACTAACTCTTGACATGGAACCTACCATTGGACAGAGGCCCTCCTCTTTCCTTCCTTCTCCTGCCCAGCTAGGAGACTTTTTCCTTAACCTCCCTTACTGAACAGCCTCTGACCCAAGTTAGCCAATGAGAAGTGAGCAAAAGTATTATGTGAGACTTTGGGGACTGTCTTTAAAGGGAGAGAGGTGCATCTTTCTTTATCTTGTCCTCCATCTTGTTAACCAGATTTTAGATGTGACGGCTGGAGCTCTGGTGTCCACCTTGCAACATGAGGATAAGAACTACATCCTTGAGATATCAGGGTAATGAGCTAGAAGGAGCCTACTTCTTCAAAGAATGGAGTCATTCTCCTGGCCCTTGATTGTTCCATAACAGAGAGGAAAAAATGTGTATATTTATTGTCTTGTCACATGGGGGTTTCTGTCCCTGCACGTTGAAACTAATTGGAATTCATATACTCCCATGAAAGACATAATGTCCATTCATTGCTCTCCTTGGACTTCATGGGCCCTTTGACAGGCCCCCAGCTGGGAAACCAAGAAGATGTTCATTGTCCTGAAAAATGCCATTAACTTCAAGAGATTAGGCCCTGCATAAGAGCTGAATGGATAACCCAAGTGGTATGATTTAGAGGGCCCAGGTAGTCTTCCAATTACCTGTTTCATATTCATAGTGCCTGAAATTCCATCTTTCCATATTAATTCATAAGACTATGCAGCTATGAGAATTCTGGATTGGGGAGCTATATTATATTATTTCTCATGCTGGCATGAAACCATTTATCTGAGAAATTTAATGATGAATGGGGACCTGGGGGATCATTGACTCCAATAGTTTTCAAACTATGCCTCAGCAAGCCCTTGCATCCCGTAATGGTGCCTCGGGGCCTGCTATTGAGGCAGAGAAGTTGGCTGGGGGAGTATGGAGGACACAGGGCATACTTTTTCTTTGAAACCAGTGTTTTGTTGCTGAAAAAAGTTAGAAAACCACAGTTCTCTTTAATTTTATAGGCCAAGAGTCTGAGGTTGCCAACAGGGTAGTCGAGTCTGAGTTCAGATGGTTGGTTAGTGGTTGAACTAGACAGAATTCCGGTTTCTGACTCTTGACACCATACTTTTTCCATGAGTCCACATTTCCTCAGGTTAGTTCCAGAGGTGTGTAGTGGGGGAGGGAGACTCGAGGTTGGTAAACTTTGGTGGGAAGGGGCAGAGCCTGGTCTTGGCTCTTGTGAGGATGCTGGAGGGTCTCAGCAGATACCCTGGGCACTTGGAGTAGTTCCATGTTGATGGGGAGGTGGGGGCCACCGAGGGCCTCTGATCACTTCACACGTTGCAGCGACTCAACATTTGAGCAATCTCTCCATCTCAGGGCACAGTGAAGGATGCTGCCAACCGGAGAGTCACAGAGCTTTACAGTTTACAAAATGTTCCTACATTCTTACGCTGCATCTTCACAAACTCCTACCTGGAGGGATAGGTATTATGTTTTCCATTTTACACATGAAGACATGAGTGAGTTGGAAGAAAGAAATTGTCTTTCCTTGGCTCCCAGGGCTGTGACCCAATTCATGTCTCCTCCTGAGTGCTCATGCTGAAGTCGTTCATCTTCCCGCAGCCCCTCCTGTGCTCCAGGACACTGTGAGCCATTTTCTCCAGCCTTGTCACAGCCTTTAGCCAGACACCAAGGTGTTCAGACAAGTATAATCTGTTTCCACACTTGTAAGTCGGGTGACCTGCTGCCTGGCTTCTTTTACTACGAGTTGGGTGGTTATAGTCATGGTGCTGGTACCAGCAAACCAGGGTGTGTGTACACACCTATGTTTGAGGGGCAAGGCAGGAGACAGGGCCGCGGATGATGCTGTACATGGTTCTGAAATCCCTATTTCTGGGATGGAGGGAAAGAGCACCCAACTCTCCAGTTTCTCTGTATCAACCAACACTACTTGATGACAGAAACTCTTCCATTAAAAGGAGTAAAGGGGAAACATAAGTATAGAAAAAATGCTGCTTTTGATGGTGGAGGATACGAGGGTGACGCCTCAACATCCATTGCATATCCATCTGTGTGGCAGCAATGTGGTTTCTGGAATTGACTCCAACTCCTAGGGAGGCTTCTTCGTTAACTAAGTCAACTATAATATATACCCCTTCGTCTGTGATGGGCTCAGGGACCCAGCCATGAAGCAGTCAGTGTCTGGTGATTTCTATTGAGCCCAAATTGAAGAGGCCTCTCCATTTCCCTCTCCCCCGCTTCCTCTCACCTTCCTCCTCTCTTCCCTTTTGGCTCAATTACTGTTGGCAATAAACCATCATATGACCATGAGGATGTTCACTCTTAGGAAGAAGGCTGTGCTCTGGATGAAAGAGCAGAGGATGGAAGAACCTGGGTTCTAGAAGCACTGGTCAGGCAATTGTGGGCCCACAATTGCCTGACCAGTGCTTCTAGAACCCAGGTTTTTCTGATATGCGAGAAAAAACCCAGGTTTTTCTGATATGCGAGATAACACATTTCTCCAGGGTTTCTGCTACTTTGGCAGGAGATCCTAACTGACATACTTACCAAAAAGACGTAAGAAATCATTGTCTCCAGAAGTGATATGGAGTCTCACCAAACACTCCATATTCATACTTAGCCATCCCTAGTGATCAGGGTGATGTATTTATGACTCAGTCAAAGTTCAAGGGCAAATTATGCATGGAAATGTCATCCTGTGATGTCTAAGCTGCACTTGAAAGATAAATGAATCTGCTCTAACATGTTGATGGTGAATACCAGATGAACATGTTGCAATTTACCAGACCTTTGTAGACATAATGCCTGGACCGAGGAACATGCCTTCTACGGTGACTCTTTAGATCAGTGGGGTCGGACTGTTTGCATGGGGCTGCATATGTCACATGGTGTGGCTCAGGGGTTGGCAAACTACAGCCAATTCTGGTCACACCCATTCGTTTCTGTATTGTTTATATTTTCGCACTGTAACAGCAGCATTGCATGCACCAGAAACTGTAGCCAACAAAACCTACAGTATTTACTACCTGGCCTCCCAGAAAAAGTTTGCTGGCTCCTGGTGTACAGCAGTGTCTACAAGGCAAACCCACAACGTTGCAAGGCTGACCTGTCATGGTGGTGGCTGCACTCGAGGCCAATGTTCTGTTTTCAGGGCGTTCAGGCAGAATACACCCATCTTGTTTTCATATATAAGTATTAACAACATTGAATGACAAAAAACATTCTTTAAAATGAACCCTGTTTTCACGAATTCCTATTATAAAATCAGTTACTAGTTCCTGCAGAAAGCTCTCTGCCCACCAGGTTGCACTGAACACATGTGAGGATGCGGTGGAGGTGAAGGTCACCGGGAGATCTCTTGACAGTGCTCCGAGTGTTGTTTGAATGTGCATTATTGTAGCACAGATGAGGCTCCGGTTAAAATTCTCTCCATCAGGAACCGTAGTATATAAATGAAAGCTCAGAATCTTTTCCTAGAGCAGAGTTCTAAAAGGGGTAGGGGGGAGACAATGTTTTTGTGCCAGGAAACTGTGGAGCAGAGGGAACCCAAGAAAGTGGCAAAAAGGGTGTTCCAGAGACAAGCACCCTGATGTCCCAGAGTGAGCTGGGCTAGCCCTGTTCCTGTTTAACCAATTTCCATAAATATCAAATGAATAATGAAGCACTTAATACTTGACAGCTTTCATGAAGCAATAGTCCTATGCCTCTGCTTCTTGCCTGCTCCCCTGGAAGGAGGCAGAGAGTTCGTCCTCAAGTTGGTACAGTGAGAGATCGGGGTGGGGCTGCCTGCCCATGGGGTGTATGTGTAGGGGCTGTGGCAGCAGGGAGGGGTCTGATGCTGTCAGTGAGGAGAAAGATAAGCTGTTATATCCATGCCTTTGCTGGCATTTCTCCCTCAAATGTTCTCCTCCAACCCGCATATTGATTTATCTAAAATGCAAATCTGATCATATCACTCCTCTACTTCAATCCTTGCAATGGCTCTGTGGATAAAATCCCATGGAGACTTGGCTCCTGCCCACCCACCCAGCCTCATCTCTCCAGCCAAGCTGAGCCAGCTCTGCCACGTCTCCTGCTGCCAGCCTTTGCCCACATTTCTCCTGTGCCCAGCAGCCCTGGCCCCACTCCTTTACCTGGATGAGCTCCCTGTCCCAGTTAGGTCAAACACAGCCTCCTCTGGAAACCCTCCTTGCCCTTCAACCTTCCTCCCCATGCCCTCCCACCCCTGCCACCCCCCAATTTGGGTTAAAAGCATACTTATCCTACTAGAGGGCATTATCTGTGTCTTCCTCACTGACTGCAAACTCCTTTTTAAAAAAAAAAAATTATTTATTTATTTTATACAAGAACCAGGGCACAGGCCAGATGTGCGGGAGGGTGAGAGGATTCACCAGAGACAGAGCGGGGAACAGAACAGGCAGACTGACGAAATGCACTACTGAGGGGAGCAGCGGGCAAGACAGGAGAGATCTGTCTCGCCATGTGGGACCCTCGCCGGCTGGCTGGGATTGAACCGGCGCTGCAAAGGCTGAGGACAGCTTCACAGTGAGGTGCTCAACCACCTGCGCCACCAGTGGAGGCCCTGACTGCAAACTCCTTTAAGGGCACAGACTATGAATTACTGATTCCCATTTCCCTGGGAACATCTAACACAGAGTAGACAGACACTCCCGTCACACCTCCAGAATGCCTGGAGCTTCTAGAAGATAGAAGTGCGGTTAAATGATAGGTGCTTGACTGCAACCATGGTCTTAGAATGGGAAACCTCTCCTGGTGCTTTAGAAGTAGATGACCATAGTGAAATACTCATCCTTTTTCTCAGGTTCCTCAGGAATGCTAGATAGTTTTAAGCATCTATATTTATAGGGAATTCTCTTGAAAATCTAAATAATAGCTCAGCTCTACCTGCTGAGCTCCTCGGTCTGAGTCCGCCCCGATACTGTGTCTGTGCGCGTGTTGGACTTGCTGTGAAGACAGCCAGGTTGAAAAGGCGTTAGGATTAGAAGAGCAGTGTCAGCAGAGGGGCGCCGACGGCTGTGGTCACTTGCGGTGTCAAGTACAGACCACAAAGCGTGTGTCTGGATTGGAAATGAAACGTATTCTCTGAGTTGAATGTGTCAGTGCTCTTCCTCAAAGGGGAGAAGCTGATCCCAGTGCTTCTACCCCAGGGCTGGCCCTTTAAGGTGCGAAAGGACATTCCAGGTCCACTTTGGTCACCAAGTCATGGAAATGTGGTCTGTGTCTTTTTTTTTTTTTTTGACTTTGTTTTTTAAAGATTTATTTATTTTTTTTTATTTTTTTTTTTAAGATTTATTTATTTATTTATACAAGCACTGGGTACAGTCAGAAGTGGGGGAGGGTGAGAATTCACCAGAGCCAGAGCGGGGAGCAGAGCAGGCAGAAGGACCGAAGTACACTGCTGAGGGGAGCAGCGGGCGGCAGGAGAGGTCTGCGTGCCATGCGGGACCCTCCTCCGGTGGCTGGGGAGCAGCCGGGGATTGAACCGGCGCCGCAGAGGCTGCAGGCAGCCTCGCAACCCGGCGCTCAACTGCTGCGCCACCTGGGAGGCCCTATTTATTTATTTATACAAGCACTGGGTACAGTCAGAAGCACGGGAGGGTGAGAGAATTCACCAGAGCCAGAGCGGGGAACAGAACAGGCAGAAGGACCGAAGTACACTGCTGAGGGGAGCAGCGGGCGGCAGGAGAGGTCTGCGTGCCATGTGGGACCCTCGCCTGGTGGCCGGGGAGCAGCCGGGGATCAAACCGGCGCTGCACAGGCTGCGGACAGCTTTGCAACCCAGCACTCAACCGCTGCGCCACCGGGGAGGCCCTGTGGTCTGTGTCTTTTTATTATAGAGAGTGTAGCTGTTTCTGGCCACACTGTAAAAGCGTGACAGGTCAAAGGTGGAACTGCATCTTCTTGCACAGCATGATGCTGACAAGATGATGATGATGATGGTGATGACAATGTCTCTACCCTTTGGTAAAAACTGGATAACTTGAGGCAGATGCAGGAGAGGAATACCTGGGAGGCAGTGCTAAGACAGGAGGAAGATGTTTCTCAGGTTGCAGATCTGAAGGCCATCATAGCCAGGTTCAAGATTATTCAATAAGTTATTTAGAATACAAGTCATACTTCATAAGGGAACTGAACAAGGGATTTAAATCATGGTTCTAGTCTATAATAGTAATTTATTGAAAACAAGGCTGCTGATGGCCAGTGTTTACAGCTGACCGTTTAAACCTCAGCTCTTTGGATTCCAGGGTTATCACTGGGCATTTCTGCTCACCTGGCTGCAAGACACCCTGATCACAGAGTATCCCCAAACCAGGAATCAGCCTCTGCAAGCCTGCCTTGTTAACACAGATCTAAAGAGGCACAAGAACAGCATGTACTTATCACAAACTCCTTGAACACATGGGAGGAATGTCACTTACATAATCTGGCAGGTTGCAGTTGTGCTGTATGATACACACCCCGGCTTTCTTAAGCCCGTAGAAGCCTCTGAGGTCTTTTTTAAAAGGAATCTTTCCATTTTCTATTGGAGACAATGCTCGCAGCATGAGTAATGCCCATCAGTTATCAGTAATTTAGCAGATTGTGCCAGTGTTGACATTCGTTCCTGGCTTAATTGTGCGTGAGTGTGTGTTTTAAACAATGATGCAGCTGTCCCCATTCCTGGCAATTAGGATATAAAAATGGTGTTCACTGAATCTGGCAGAGTGATCAGTTACCCATGTGTTTACTCTTTTGTTTGCAAGGCCTTCTGAGTGTTTGCTGCAATTCTACAATCAGAATACCAATTCAGCTTAAAATGGAAGCAAGCTCCATGAGAAGAGCGCCAGCAGGGCCTTCGGAACTCCACCTGCTGAGCTCCTCAGTCTGAGTCCACCCCGATGCTGTGTCTGTGTGCGTGTTGGACTTGCTGTGAAGACAGTCAGGTTGAAAAGGCATTAGGATTAGAAGAGCAGTGTCAGCGGAGGGGCGCCAACAAGCCGTGGTCACTTGTAGTGTCAAGCAATCCACACACACTCCCACCCAGAGTCCAGTCATGGAGTTTCAAAGGGGCAAATGTCAGCCCCAGTCCCTGTCCCTGCTACTGACCTGACCAGAAGAGCTGGCACCTCGGGGGTACAGGTGTGGCTTTCCCTAACTTATTTGGCTCTTGGCCTGATGGGTTTCTTGCTATGAATCAGTTATCTTTGTGTCAGCTCCAATGGGGACTCTTCTTATTAGGTTATAGCAAATGTGAATAAAATAACTATAAAAAATAACTTACCCCTCTGGAAAATGGTTTGGCAGTAGTCACTAAAGCTGAACATGCGTATATATATATACTGTATGACCCAGCAGATTCACTCTGAAAGGCCAACACCCAGCAGCATGCTCATGTTCACTAAAAGGTACAGTCTGGGGGTCTCTGGTGTTGGGGATAAAGTATTGGTGCTATCAAGCTATCGCCAGCCATTGCGGCATGAGTTCCATTCCCAGCCAGGGACCTAACCCTCATGGCACAGCAGACCTCACCTGTCTCACCTGCTGCTCCCCTCAGCAGCGTATTTCATAAAATAAATAAATCTTAAAAATAAAAACAAAATATAAAAATAGATAAAATAAAAATAAATCTCAAAAAAAAAAAAAGACATAGCCTGAAGGTTCATGGCAGCACCCCCACCCCCAGATGTCCATCAAGAGTAGAATGGATCAATAAGTTGTGTTACAGTCTAACAAGGCACACTACACAGATGGTATAAACTGCAACTGTACCTATAAATGATCAACTGTCTAAACTATAACACTTGCTAGGTGTTAGTTTTTCATCTCTGTGAGACAAGTTAACTCATACTCAGCTGCTGAAAACAGCTCGCACTCACCAGCTCACAGTTGCTAGTTTTCCATCTGGACACAGTCTTGTGTTCTCTGCTAAGAAGGTGTCAGCAGCTGGAGCTCTGGATCCTCTTCCAAGTTCATTTAGGGTATGGACAGAATTCAAGGTCTTTTTGGGGGCTGAAGGACGGAGGTCTCCTATTTCCTTGCTGCCTGTCAGCCAGAAGCCATTCTCAGCATTTGGAGGCCATGGCCCCCTGGGTCTTCAAAGCCAACAATGTAGAATTTGCCTGGTGCCAGTCCTTCTCACACTTCAGATCTCTCTCATCAAGGAAAGCCCGGTCCCTTTTCAAGGCTCAGTTGATCAGACCCACTGAGGATAACCTCCCTATCTTAAAGCAGCGGATTTGGGGCTTAGTTCTGCAAACCCCATTAACAGCAGCACCTACATTAAACCTCAGTTAAATAACTGGCAGAAGGTGCTTGCACAGGAGAGGATATAGAATCTTGGGGGCATCTTAGAATTCTGTCTAAGAATTCTAAGCACATCAGCATGGATGGATCTCACAATTAATGGTGAGTGAAGGACGGCAGACACAAAAGAATATATGAAGTATGGTGTCATTTGTATAAAACATGAGAACAGGAAGTGTTATAGAGCAACCCCGATATTAAACGGGTTCCTGGCTGTGGGTCCTCACCCGCGCGCTTTAAAGGGACTTATGAATACTCTACTACAGACACACGCAAAAGGGTTAATAAAAGGTTTATTTACAAGAGAAAAAGAAATAAGGAAAATGTACAACTCAGGGAGAAAATAGGGAAATAAAGTCTTTAATGCCCTAACAGAAGCACTGATCTTCGGTATTAGAAGTCCACAGTGGCTCCGCTGGAGTCCATGATAACAGAATAGGGAGGAACAGCGTGCTGAGGGCTAATAATGTTTTTGTGTCCAACTTGTGAAAATTCCGCAAGCTGCATGCACATTTTTAGAATAATTTTGATTCACTACTTTAAAAGAGATTTGTTTTATTTTGCCAAAGAAGTATCTATTCAAAGTCAGCTCACTGTCAGAGTGGGTACCTGATGGGGGTAGAAAATAAGCAGGAAAAGAAAGGAAATAAGAGATCACCTTGCCTGGAGTGGGATGATGACACTCAGGAACTCTGTGAGGGCCAACTAGGTGAAATGTTAGTGCTTGTCAACGTGGGCCTGTGGGCAGGACACACTACCTAATTTGTGTGCCCAGTTCAACGTGAAGTGTGGGGCTTGCTTCTTCAAACATTAAGAATGGGACGACAGCAAGAGGGGCATGTTAAGACACAGGTCGGGGTGAGGGACAATCACACTGGCCCCACTCCCAAGTGGCCAGCCCTGCCGGATGTGTGGGAGAGAGACCCAGGTTCTGACTCCAAAGACTTCTTACCGGGTGAGTTACTCCGGGCAACTAGAGCCTTGGCGTTTTCCACTGTAAAATGGGTTAGCTAAAGGCTAGGAGACTCTGAGTAATACTGCAAGCAAGAGCAAGTACTTTTTTTTTTTTATTTTAAAGAGGCATGTATTTTTATTTATGATTTATTTATTTGTTTGTTTGTTTTGTTTATACATGCACTGGGTACAGTCAGAAGCGCGGGAGGGTGAGAGAATTCACCAGAGCCAGAGCAGGGAGCAGAGCAGGCAGAAGGACCGAAGTACACTGCTGAGGGGAGCAGCGGGCGGCAGGAGAGGTCTGCGCGCCATGTGGGACCCTCCTCTGGTGGCCGGGGAGCAGCCGGGGATCGAACCGGCGCCGCAGAGGCCGCGGGCAGCTTCGCAACCCAGCGCACAACCGCTGCGCCACCGGGGAGGCCCAAGAGCAAGTACTTTTTGATGTGGAAGATGTGAAACGAATATAGGGATTATTATAATAATTGGCTGCCCTATTGTTTATGTGTCATTTCTTTAATTGGTTAAAAAAAAAAAAAAAGACTTGCAACCTCCTGTATACTATTTATTTGAAACATAACTCTTTGCAGATAGCACAGAGCCCCTTCCACCATGAGAGTTAACAGGACTTCCAAGTTATTGGTACAGCCCCAACTGTGAGATTTAACCTTGGGATCTGTGGTCTTTCGAGCTCAAAGAGGAGGCTACCAAATATCAAGGTCAGAGTATTGCAGTCTGGACACTTCCCCATCAAAGTTTTTCTTCTTCCTGCCGTTTGAGTTCCTGTCAAGTTGAAATCCTGACCTGGCTCTAGAACCTCCCCAGTGGCTGGAGGGCGGTGAGAAACGGCTTCCTAGACCTCATCAGGCAGGGCTCTATGGCGAGGGCAGAGAGCACTGGGGGACTGAGAGGTTGGGATGACAGGGCGGTGGCTTGATACATGGGGAAGAGGGTGATAGGAGAAAAAAGGCGAGCGAGCGTTTAGGGGTTAGGATCTCTGAAAACGCACGACTTTGGCATTATATACCTGTTTATTTTCCCTAGCTTGCACTCTTGAAACAAACATTTCTAGGCACGGTGACTTACTAAAGCTTTTGGAGACCGTCGTATCCGAAGGTGGCCGGCTGCCTGACCTGATTTATGAGTGGTTCCAGCGATGGGACAAGGTCCCAGTGTCTGGGTGACAACAAGGTCTTTGATGAGCAGCGGCGAGCTGCAGTTGGGGAGGGGAAGACCTGCGGCAAGGGCAGAAAGCCCCCGAATTTCCTCCCCGCGGGAGCTGGACACCCAGGGCGCGGGCGGGCAGCCCCGCAGGCCATCAGCATGCAGGAGCCGCGCGCGCCGTCCTTGAAGCGCTGCCCGGCTGACCTTGCTCTGCTTTCTCCGGAGAAACCTCCGGGAGAGCGCGAGGACGCGACCACGGCGGTGACTCAGTGCCCGGCGCGCCGCATGCAAATGCTCCCCTCCAGCAAGCCTAGCTCTGCGTCCCCGGCTTCCCCTTAACACCCCCCCCCCTTTTTTATTTTAATTCCACGATTCACACCCGGCGTTTTCCGTTCTACCCCTCCCCCTCCCCAGCCGCCTGTCATTAGCCTGATTGCCGGGTGTTCAGTCCCCCACCTCCCTCTGCAGAGCCGAAGGCCAACCTCCGTGCGCCCTCGCTGCGGGCCGGAGCGCCGGACGTGGCCCCCTCGGGCAGAGCCCCGCGCCGGGCTCCCGCGGCCGGGCGCCGGACCGGAGGGGGCGGTGCGCGGCGCTCCCCGACTCGCAGGAGGACGGCGCCCCGGCTCCGCTCCCCATTGGCCGCCACCTCGGCAGGAGGGGGCCGCCCCGGGCTCGCTGCACCTGGCTTCGCCCCTCCGCAGGGAAATCGCTGGCTGCCGGGCACGGGCGCCCGGGGGTAAAGGCAGCGGGAGGAAGGCCGGGGGCCGCGGCCGAGCTCCCTGCAGCTCCTCCTGCCCTGCTCGCCGCCTCGGCGCTGGCGACGTTTGGATACCCCCTGCGCCCGCCGCGCCAGCCTGAAACTTTGCCCTATAGAGTCCCCCACCTGCCTGGCGGCGCCTAGAGGCACCTGGCCTGCCGCGCGCCCCCCGGGCTCCGCTGCCCCACGCGTGATTGCCGGGGCCCCTGGGCGCCCGGAGCCCGGCGCGCCCCGCCGCGCGCGAGTGGCCGCCAGGATGCGCTACGCGGACCCCTCGGCTAACCGGGATTTGTTGGGAAACCGAACTTTGCTCTTCATCTTCATTTGCGCGTTCGCCTTGGTGACCTTGCTGCAACAGATCTTGTACGGCAGGAACTACATCAAGAGGTGAGAAAGTCCCAGCGAGGGTGGGGATGCGCGGAGCCCGCGGGCAAGCCCTCAGGGGGCGACCGCAGCGTCCGCCAGGGCGGCCCCGGGGTGAGCGACCGAGGGGTCTGCCCGTAGCTCCGCCGCCGCGCTAGGCTCGGGTCGGGGCGCCGGGGAGCTGGTGTCTCCCCCCGGGATAAGAGCGCCCGCCCAGCGCGGGTCCGAGAGGCCCGACAACTTTGTTGGGCTGTGAAAAATGGGGGACAGGTTGGAATTTCCTGAGACCAAACTGGTGATAAATCCATTTGAATGTCCAGAGCGGCCGCAGGGGTCAGATCGGTGTCCCCCAAATCTGCAGAGCCATAGCTGTCCGGTTGGAGGGGAGGCTGGGAGTCGGGGGTGCAGGAATCAAAACCCGGCAGCATGACCGCTCTAGTCCAGAACTTTTGTGGGGATGTTTTCGTTGGGGGGAGGGGAGTGTATTCCTGCCCCTCCCCCCACGCAGATGCATAGCATCGGGTGGGGTGATCGCTAACTCGGACAAGGACTCAAGGATCGGGAATTTTTATAAGCCAGTAGCCGCTGGATCTGTGAAACTGCTAACTTGACCCCCTTCTCAAGCACGATTCTTGCTCATCCTTTGCGCAGAAGGTCAGAGCTGCTGCAGAAGTTAACCCTCCCCTGGTGGGCCTCTGCTCCCACCCCGACTGTTCACGGGCCAACTCTTCTAAGAGAAAGAGCAGTAGGAGGCGTCACTCCGAAACTTGGGGGTCACGGCCTCAACCCCTGTGTGTGCAGAAGACCCACCGAAATGCCATCTTTCCTTTTGCCCACCGTGCTGGCTGAGCAAAAACGCTTCAGGCTACTCTGCTTTGGTTTCAGAATTTGGAGAGCCTCTTTTGGAAAGCAAACCCCCTCTCTTTTCTGCAGGAGGTCTTTGCTGCCAGTGTCTTCCTGCTCTCACTGCCCCTCCCCCAGGCTGATGAAAAAAAAAAAAAAAGCCTCTCGAGATATAAACAGCCTATCTTCTCTAAACTTCCAAATAATAAAGCTGTTCTCTTTCCTTTGGGTTCCAGATCAGTCATTTGCAACCCCCTGGTGAAGACTGATGCCTGTCTCCTCTCCCTCCCCCTCCATGGGGATTGGTCAGACCCCTTAGGGAGAACATTTGTTTCCAGCCAGCCCCTGCCACTGACCTTCCCAGAGTGTTCTGCCCCACTTGAAGGCGGTTGATGAGGTTTGCATGGGGCTGGTGGCTTTAAAAGATTCCAGAGGCTCTTGGCTTGCTGGAACCCATTGGGCTTTTCTCTTCTCTGTTCTTACTGCCGCCCACCCCAACCTGGGCCTGGCCCTGTGCAAGGACAGCTGTGCCCTAAATGGCCTGCTCTAGCCTCTGCTGGCTGCACTTGTTCCTCACAGGTTGGCTCTGGATTCCTAGACCCTGGTGGCACCTTCCCAGAGCTGCAACTGCCAGGAGCTGCCTTGTCAATAGTCGAGAATATCGGTACCCACAGTGAATGCCAGTCGAGCTACTAACGGCCTTCTCTGGCAAGTCCACTCTGGTCTTGGGTGGATGGGCTTGCTGCCCAGAGTTCAGCAGGATACCCATTGCTTCCTAGCTGCCCTCCTACGGAGACCCTGTCCCTCTAAATCTCAGATGCCACCTTGCAGGCCTCACTCCAGGGACTTGGTTAATCCAACCAACCAAGCAAAACTGGTTGCTTGCTCCTTATGGAACGCAGTGGGGTCTGTAAATAGGTGATGATGTGGTCCTGGTGTTCAGGAGATTTATTCTGGGACACAGAATGGCCACAAATGAGATACTCAGGAATGAATGAGGGAGGAGGAACCCCTGCACTGCAGTAGTTAGGGAAGACTGCCTGGAAGAGGTGGAGGAACCTGAGTGAGCTCTTGCTAAAAAAATGGTGCAATGTGTAGTCTGCCTCCCACAATGAAGAACTGTCCAGCCCAAAATGTCAATAATGTTGAGGAGGACAATCCTGCTCTAGACAAAAAGCTCCATGAAGTAGGAATGCTTTGTTTTGTTCCCAGCTGCACCCTGAGATCCAACTATGGTGCTTGGCACATAGTAAGTTCTCAGTAAATATTGGATAATGAAGGGATGATTGAAAGCGGTGTGCGTGTGTGCTCAGGCGTGGATGTGTAGGCACAGATGCAGAGATAATAATTGGAAGAGACAGAGTGAAAAAATTGGTCCTGCTGGTGTTGGGGGGAGGTAGGGAAGCAGAGGACAGATGTTATGTTGGGTCAGTGACCCCAGTGGAGCATTTTATGCATGGTAAGGACAGTTTGAACTTAGTTCATTTGGCCATTGGAAGCCACATGTGGCCCTAGATTTGAGTAGTGACGTGAAAAAAGCCAGCAGGAAGGAAGGTGGTCCTGACCTTGTAGGAAAGGGTTAGCAAGTCTGTTCATACATCCTGGTCAGAGTGAGGAGAAGCCGGTGCAGGAGCAGATCTACTGTTGGTGAGGGTCTCCCGAAGGCTGCCCTGCTTTGTTTCTGTGCTGAGCTGGTTTGATGGATTCAGCAACATCGCCATTGTTTGCTACAAAGGGCTCAGGAGCGCAAAGGTAGCAGGCCATTCCAGTGCGAATTAGGGACTTACTAGAAGAAAGTGGGGGATGTCAGTTGACGTGTATTCAGTTTTGGGGCCCACGGCCTCTCCCTGGACTGTACAGTGGGTATTACCAGGAAGTGGCATGAAAAGCAATCACAACTCTGGGAAGCTGTTTTGCAAATATGGCCAGGAGGGGGAAATGTGGGACAGTGCAGATGGCTTTCTCTACTGGAGAAAGTACACACTGTGCGGATTAGGAGGAAAAAGCAAGACGCAGAGCTGTGAAGTTGCCCTTCGTAGTCTTGGCTTCGATTGAACAAAATACTCACCAAAGATTTACTATAGGCTGGACACCACGCTAAGTGGACAATGCAAGATGGACACAGTCCTGGGTCCCGGGAAGTGCGAGGTCTGTTGGGAAGATGGAAAGATACATCCCGCACGCTGGACACTGGAGGTGTGGCCAGGGGACCCCCTGGATGGGGCGGTGCCATAGTGAGTCAGGATGGCTTCAAGGCACATGGAGGCATTTGAAGGGAGTCTAGGAAAAAGGGAATGACCGATAGGTCTGGAGGGGGTGAAAGGAAAGGAAGTGAAGCCCAGCCTGAGCAAAGATGTAAAAGCGCAGGGATAATGGAGTAATTCTGGCGAACTCAGCGTTGCAGCTCAGTTATAGCTCGGGACAGAGTGACGCAGGTGGAGTGGGATTGTGAAGAACTAATAGGAAACAAGTGAGAATTTCTCGAGGCGAGAGGTTAACACACTGGAGTCTAGATCTGTTTGGACACCACAAGGCGATGCCTTGTGGAGCTTCTCCAGCACCTCCCTGGAAATGAACCCTGGAACTGTGGCTGGAGAAGAGTCAGCCAGGCTAGCGATGCGGATCCTGGAGTCACCAACCATCAAAATCAGTGTTTTTCAAGGTTTTATAATGGTGTTCCACAGGAAAGAATAAGTTTTACCGAGGGTGTACACTCACTCATGCACCCGCCTATAGCAAACATTTTGTGAAAGAAATCATAGCTGTATTATAAGAAATGCACTTCAATATTTTCTATTTTACCTCACAAAAAAAAAAAATTCTTTTCCTCTTCCTTTAAGACATAAATTCAGCCTTGAAAAGGAAGGAAATTCTGACACATGCCCGGCATGGATGCACCTGGAAGGCATTATGCTGTGTGAGATAAGCCAGGCCCAGAGTATGCAGCTCCATGTAGATGAAGCCTCAGGGCAGTCAGATGCAGAGACAGACAGAGTCATGAAGGTGACCAGGGGCTGGGGGGGGGGAAGCAGGGGGCGAAAAGAGAAAAGGAAGTTCATGTTGCATGGGTGTGGAGCATCAGGGTGGTAAGGTGGCAAAGTTCTGGAGGACAGTGGTGGTGGATGCACAACAACGTGAACGTACCCAGTGGCAACGAGCTGCACACTTGAAAATGGTTAAAATGGTAAATTTTAATGTCTACTTTGCCATGATTAAGCAAAAACAAAGAAGTGTAAAAATTCTGGGGACAAACCACTGACTTGATTAAAGTATTAGTTAAAAAACCTTGGTCTGTGTGATGGGTTTGGATGAAATCACCCTGGCGAGAGCAGAGTGGGAGATGGTGATAAGCAGGGCACAAGGGAGAACCTTGAGGAGTGGAGTGCCCACATCTAAGGGGGCGAGAGAGGCGGGCTGGTTCTGGAAATGAGACCGCAGAGGGTGGAGGGGAATGAGGAGCAGGAGGTGCTGAGGTGTTAAGGGATAAGCGTGTGACAGACTGTAGAGGGCTCGAGGAGGGTTTGGCTCTAGAGGGAGTGGAGGGGACAGACTTAAAAGAACGAATTTCTAGAATGAGGCATGTGAATATTGTCCCCTCTTTCATTTACCCTCCACTGACCCCAGCCTGCTTTGTTAGTGCTAAAATCTTCACATAAGTTCACATCCCTGCAGTGTTAAGGACTTCCAGTATTTACACTTTACCAGAGGGTCAGGGAAGGGCAATGATTGTAAAGATAGATGGGACATTGTACATTTTTAATAATCTGGCCCCAACCTGCCTTTTAAACTTAATCTCAGAGGAAGACCAAATAGGCACTGGCCTTGAATGTGCTCTTTTAATGTCTTTTAATGGAGCTTTATCATTCTCCATAAAGAATTTGAACACTTTTGTAGGTTTATTTCTAGCTACATAGTTTTTACTGCTATTGTAAAATTATCTTAAAAATTATATTTTTCTAACCATTTGTAGCCTGCATATAGACATAAATTTGATTTTTAAAATATATTGGTCTTATAATCAAGAACCTTTATAATGCATGTAGTGATAATGACTTCCCTGTGAAGTGTTCTGGAATTTCTATGGATGTTTTTCTTTATTTCATTTTAACCTTTGTACCTTAATTTATCTTTCTTGCCTTATGCCCTAATTTATTTTTCTTGTCTTAGTGTACAGGCTAGGA